CCATCATCACGCCCCGTACCAGCAGCGAAGGCGAGCCTCTGCGCCCTCTGCGTCACTACCTGAAGCGAGTGTTTACCGAGCACGAGCGCCAGTACTTTTGGCATCGCTTCGGGCCCGAAGAATCCGTTCTGGAGAAGGCAGATGTAATCTCCAAATTTCTCGCTGGCAGGTGAGTATTCGCATCAGCTTAATCTCCAACTAGGAGCTTACGTGATACAAGGTTTGCAGCGAAAGAAGCTTGCCGCAAAGCAATTCAACACCTCGACATTGTTCAAAGAGGGTTCAAGCATATCATGATCCTCCCTGTTACCGCGGTTGATCGCAGTAAGCACCAATCGCTACGGCCCCAGGGCTTGATTTTGAATATGGTCTACGAAGATTTCGAGCCAACATGGGTGAAGCCCGACGGCAAAATCGGAGTGATCGATATGAGCGAGCTCGATGGGCAGCTGTGCGAAATTAGCATCAGCCATGATGGAGACTATGCGACCGCTGTGGCTATAGTGCCGATGGCGGAGAAGTGGGAACATTGATTCGGATGGTTCTGGTGCGGATTTTCTCGTTTGTCATGTTTTGCTGAACCAATCCATGGATGCTGGTACCAAAGATCTTTGTCAATCATGAAATCTCCATCCCCAATTCGACATAACCATGACCATCACATATGGCTTTATCCATTCTGTTGCTGCCCAGAAAATGCGTCTAGCTGCTTACACGAACGAACTTCCGTAGCGACTTGAACTACACATTACATCACAACATGACAACCACATATACAAGGTCTACGTTTGGCAAGTCCAACATGTTCGCGCCCGCGCTGCCATCAGCATGGCAGCGTATACAGCAGGATCCAATACTCTTCATCGCACAGTGGTTGTATGCTCACCGACCGCTTTCGACAATATCACAGCCCGCGTCCACAACATCGAAGTCCGCTTCTACAATCCCTGTTAGGGTTATCTGCATCTCCGATACGCACAACGAGCAGCCGCATGTACCGAACGGCGACATCTTGATCCATGCCGGCGATTTGACAGTCAACGGCACATTCGAAGAGCTGCAGTTACAGCTCGACTGGTTGAACAGTCTGCCACACCAACACAAGGTTGTGATAGCAGGGAACCACGATTTGCTTCTCGATCAGTCCTTCTTTCGCCGCAACCCACGACTTGCAAGCCGAGAGAATGATGAACGCAGACTGCGAGATCTCAGATGGGGAAGTGTAGTATACCTCGAGAACGAGCTGAGGGTGCTCAACGTTCGGGACAGGGACGTCAAGGTCTATGGAAGTCCCATGACGCCGAAATACGGCAACTGGGCGTTCCAATACCAAGCAAAAGACACATGGTCAAACACTGTCCCGGAGGCGACGGACATACTCGTCACGCATGGCCCTGCCAAAGGCCACCTCGACTCGTCATCCGCGAACCCATCTTACTTGCAGGGCTGTGCTCATCTTCAGCGGGAACTTTGGCGTGTGAAGCCGCGACTCCATGTCTGCGGGCATATTCACTCAGGAAGGGGCGTCGAGTGTAGTGACTGGGGATGGCTACAGTGGGACTATGACGCTGTATGTTGTGGCGAAGAAGGACGCGTCGTCGTCCTGAGGATGCTGGCTTGCTGGGTCTGGCTGTGGGTACTCTGCATGTTGGGAAGAGCAGCGAATGGACGGACTATGACGAGTGTTAATGCAGCAGTTGTTGGTGAAGGGCTCGCAGAAGGCGAGCAAACTCTTCTCGTAGATCTTCGGTAACTTGCAACGATTGCCACGTCATGAGACACCTCTCCTCGTTGTACACGTAACATGTACTGTTTGTATGCCTCAACACGATGTCAAGGTTTACGTGCTGTCTCTTCATCCCCAGTGGCACTCCACAAACAGCAGACGGAGACACATATCGTGCAAACCATATACAAAAGTCCAATGGGTGGCTTCTGGAAGTCGGTAATGCCCAGTTTACAAGAGTGCTTGGCCACCAAAGTGGAGATGGAGATTCTAGGTTCATGCGTGCCGTCATGCCCCACCGATCCTCGTGGAAGCGACACAGAACGCGTTTCGGGAGACAAGATCCATAAACAACGACCCTGCGAGAGGCTGCGGCATGTGGATCTGACAGAAAACAACAGTGGAAGCCGAGCATAAGGTGAAATGCAGCCTCAGCCTTGTGTACTCCGGAGTAGTTGAAGCCTGCATAAGTATAGGACCAGAAATATAGCATGAACATGACGATCGCAACCGTGCCCAATGCAGAGGCGGGGCCTGGGGCTATATGTTCAGATCGTTAAGCAATGTTCTTCTTCTAGTCGGCAGGAATGGTTTCGAAACGTTCAAGCGCATGCCGGCAAGGGTGGTCTCACGGTGTTGGAATGTCACCCAGCACAGCACAGCACAGAAGCGCGTGCATGCTGTTCAGATCTAAAAGATCAGCCGTCGACATGTTTAACCGTGGCGGCGGAAGTCTCCTTGCGATGCTTTGAATTACGGGTATGTTGGCCTCGACCAAATGGTAAAGCCAAGCGACAGAAAGGGGAATCCCAGGAAACGAGGAGACAGCCCGATGCCGCGGTGCATTGGCTGGACCATTGGATCGGCTCAGACCTGTGGGTTGGATTCACACCTTCCTCGTACAGTGCTACGCAGGAGCTTGAAACGAGTCACAGTACCCGATGACCCGATGACAAGGCGAGCCTCGGCACCCGCCAGGTGGAATGTTTGTAGAACGTCGACAGACAACCAAATATAGCTGTAGCAGGCGTTCGTAGTCGCAGACCGAGGGAGAGAGATGAAACGTTAGAGCACGGAATGCGCATCTGAGGCGCTGATGGAATGGCGTCAGTCATGGCCATGCTGACTTGAGAGATGAAGGACAGTCCAGTCAGAAAGTACCGGTACCAGCAGCCGATGTCGAGGCTGCAGTCCAAGTGAAGGCTAGCCACGGACAGGGGCTACCTCGAACCTAGGGCGCTGTAAAGTTCATGTCGTTCGCTGGGGCGCAGGCGTGGAGGCGGCGAGCAGAAGTCGAAACCAGCCGTCTGCCCTAGAACGAACTTTGGCGAGTCGTCGAGAGGACAGTCCTGGACGATGCAGGCAAAGCGCACATGGCTGTCAAAAAACGATAGCGTGGTACGGTAGTAGTTGGTCGCACTTCGGAATGACTGTGGACACAGACCGGCAAAATGGCTTGCTCAGCGAAGGAATTGGGTGGCTGCAGGCGATGCGCAGCCCTGCAGTTTCCTACAGTCAGCCGGTAGAGACGTTGGAATAACAGTGTGTAGGGCCCAGGAAGGTGCCGCGATATTGCTTCTGAGCGAACAATCAAAGCATGTCCACGGGGTTGGGTGCAGCATGAGGCGGCGTGGTGAGCGATCATCATCATTCGCATGCGAGCGGGACCCGTGTCATGCCGAAATGAAGGGCTCGGCAAGGGCAAGGGCAAGGGCTGCGCCTTCTCTTATTGGCCGCCTGATGGCCGTTCCTTCCTCAGCAGCGTGCGCATCGAACGGTGGGGAGCAAGGCGCTGGAGATGGACATCAACACTGCGCAGGCGGCCGCCTCCAAATTCCTCGAAATTGAGGGTTCAGTCGCCGTGTCGTAGGCAAGGGATGCTCCATGTCTTGGGCTATACTGTAGCACAGCCGGGGTATATATTACCCTTGGCTAGTGCGGTTTGAGCTCACAGCCGTCTGCACGACCAGGGCCTCGCGGCCAGATGCAAATTAATCCACAGGCGCACCGTGGCGGCATGCGCAATCTGCTGCTGATGGAGACACAATGTCCGCTTCGCCTTTTCGTCGTCGCAGCCTCTGAAGTCTTGCTGTCTCCTGTCACATAACCTTCACACCGTACCCACCCGCGACGTCAATAGCGAACTACTTCCCTCTGCAGCAAGCGCCGTTCTATTTTGCGACTATCGAATGCAGAGGCCCGCCGCGCGAAACCCTGGCTTTCCCCGTCCTGGACACTGGCACTAGTGGTGGGCAGTTGGTTCTCCTGCAGGGAGCACACGTTGGCGACTCGCAGCCCACGGCGCTTTCCCTCTTCCGCCCCTCGCCCCTGCCTTCCGCCGTTTTGGCCTGGACACCTGGGCGACTGCTGCTGCTGACCGGCGCCCTGTCTTCTCTTCTTCTTCACTACCCGTCGCCCACGCCCCAAGCCGACCTCTTCTCCACCACCCGCCGACAACCCCCAAACGGGCGCATTCATATATCGACTCTGCGCATCTCCCACCCGTGGCTCCCCGTGGCTCTCTCCTCCGACCGTCAAGCACCGCTCTCCACGTCGCCCAGGCCTCACGCTCCCTTGCACGATTCTCCGAATCACGACCACTCCTTCAAAAGCAATTCCGCTCCGTCGCCGCAATTACTAGTAATCTGACCGTTGCCTATCAACGTCGTCGCCGCTCGTTTTAGCACCGCACCGTCCACGAAAACGCGTCCCAGCCCCGCTGACCACTTACGACACGCACGGCCACCCGCTGCTCAGGAACAAAGAAAACGCAATCGCTGCGAATCGTGCTTAGAGTGCCTCGACCACTCCTACGATTCTTTGTCGCCTGCCTGCTCGCTCGCTGTCATCCACGTGCGTACCAGTCTCTGATCGGCCCTGGTTCGGTACCGCGTGCTTCTAGACCCACGCGACGACTATTCTCCGGTACCTGTCAGTGTCAAACATGACAGCATAGTCCCGCAACCAACCCGAGAACATCGCGACGACGCAGTAATCGCTTCGCCTGTGCAACCATCTATTCCTAGCTGCATCGACAGTCTAGTGAGTCACCCAGTTCAGCGACGCGCTTTCTCCATGGAGACTAACATGCGACAGGTCCATTCTTTACCATCATTGACATTCGTCAAGTACACTCGTTTACCATAGCCCTGACAGTATGTTTTGATACTGACACTGCAAACGCCATGGCTAACAACAGCAGGCTTCCACGTACATTGCCTTCGAGACTCTCGAGATATCTAATTCTACATAACAAGGCATCATAATCGTAACAATGCCTCGCTCAACGACAGTATGGGCAGCCGCCCTGGTTCTGGCCAGTCTCTCTGGCTCTGGCCCGCTCCTTACGACAGCAGAGGCCATGCCTGCACCGGGACCACAACAAACCCAAGGCCGTCCCCGATACTACTTCGCTAGGCACGTAAAGCGACAAATCGTTACCAATGCGACGACCCCTGCGGCTACCCCAGAGCCATCAACCAGCTACTCGTCCAGCAGCACTACTGAGCAACTCTCGTCCCGCCAGATGGACTTCCCGTCCTTCATTGAATCGCTGTTCCGCGGTAGTTCCGATTCATCGGCTCTTGCCTCATCCTCAGATGTGCTTGTCAGCACCAGCGACGTAGACACCACTGGCACCTTGTCCTCCGCTTTGGCAGAGAGCTCCTCTACCGCACCTCTCTCAGAAAGCAGTGTCTTTTCACCGCCACCACCTGCGGCATCGAGCTCTGCAGTCGAATCGTCGAGCCCCATCGTTAGCTCATCAAGCCAAATTCAGGAATCAGTCACTGAGCCATCGTCTACAGCTGCTCCTACGTCCACTTCCGAAGCAGCGCAAAGCGAGAAGCCTGTTGAGACCACCACATCCGAGCCTACCACCGAACCTCAGCCAACAACCGCTGTTTCTTCAACGGCCGAGATTGGCACTACCAGTGGTCTCCCCGAGACTATTGTGCAGCCTACATCAACCGCCCAAAGCAGCGCCGCATCTTCTTCTTCTACCAAGGCCGACAGCCCTATTCTCGGTCCTATCCTCGGCTCCACTGGCCTCCTACCTGAGATCATCGTTCCACCAACTTCCACTGTCCAAAGCTCAGCTGCGGCCTCTTCGACCGCCGTTGAAGACACCCCAGCTTCTTCGATCGCTCAGAGCTCAGCGGCAGCCCCAACCGGAGGACTGCCTGACGTGATTGTACAACCGTCATCCTCCGCTGTCGACAGCAAGCCAGCGCCTTCTACCGGTAGCATTCCCGAGACCATCGTGCAGCCCACTTCAGCTATCGCACAGCCAACCTCGACGCCTCCTGGTGTTGAGAACACCCCTGCCTCGACAGGTGGACTGCCGGATGTTATTGTGCAGTCATCGTCGTCAGCCGTTGACACACCTACTGCAACAACGACTTCTGCTGGTCTCGTTGGTGGACTTCTTTCAACGCTTCTCAACCCAATCATTGGATCTACTGGCGGTGTACCCACATCTGTTGTCCAACCTACCCAGGTAGTCTCATCGACTGCTCCCCAGTCATCTCAGCAAGCTGCCGGCTCCACTGGAGGCATCCCAGAGACTATCGTGACACCCACTGCGTCTCTTGCTTCTTCTGCTGCACCAAGCTCTCCTGCCGCATCCAGCTTCCAGGGACCTTTCATCGTCCCTGGATCCACAGGTGGTGTTCCTGAGTCGATTCTGCAGCCTACCTCATCCGGCGGCTTGGTTGGTGGTCTGCTTTCAACGCTACTCGGACCCACCCCTACTTCTGAGGTCGGCTCCACTGGTGGTATTCCTGAGACAATTGTTCAGCCTACCTCTTCCGGTGGCCTTCTTGGTGGTATCTTGTCGTCAATCCTTCCACCCGTGCCTACTTCTGAAGTTGGCTCGACTGGAGGCATTCCTGAGACAATTGTTCAGCCTACCTCTTCCGGTGGCCTTCTTGGTGGTATCTTATCGTCAATCCTTCCACCCGTGCCTACTTCTGAAGTTGGCTCGACTGGAGGCATTCCTGAGACCATCGTTCAGCCCACTTCGTCTGGGGACCTTCTTGGCGGGCTACTGTCGTCGATTCTGCCACCTGCCGCCACTTCCGAGGTTGGCACCACTGGAGGTATTCCTGAGACTGTTGTGCAGCCAACCTCATCCGGTGGCCTAGTCGGTGGACTGTTGTCTTCGCTCCTCCCATCAGAAGTTCCGACAGCCACCTCTCAGGTTGCTTCAACTGGCGCACCCCTCTTGCCATCATCCGGCATTGTCATCGGCATCACTACGGCTTTGGGCACTGGTGATTCTGCTGCTTCGACTGCGACACCGACTTCTCTCTTGAGCTCTGGAGCCATTCCTACTTCGGAAACCGTAGCTACCAGCTCACCGATCCTCGACCTACCGGGACTTGTATCGTCGGTCATATCTGGTGTCCTGCCTACCGGTAGCGGCGTTGCATCTACGGCACCCACCTCAGTAGCTTCTGCTAGCGCGTCCGGCATTCTTCCTCCGGCACTCTCCTCGCTGTTGTCTTCAGCTGTCTCGGATCTCCCTGTCTCAGTGGTGCCCAGTGCTATATCAAGCATCCTGTCTGATCTGAACTCGGTCCTGCCCACCGGCACTGGTCCTATTATCATCCCGACTGTCTTGCCCTCAAGCTTGCTGTCTTCCGGAGTTCTCCCGTCGTCTGGCCTGCCAATCTCGTCAGGTATCCTACCATCGTCTGGCGTCCTTCCTTCTTCAGGACTCTTGCCATCCGGCGCTGTGCCTACCCCCACCTCTGAAGTTGTGTCTTCGTCTGGCGTGCCTGCCTCTGAGGCTCTCTCCTCTAGCGTTGGGCCTACAGCCTCCGAGACTGCAAGCATCACACCTTCAGCATCTTCAGGAACTGCCCTGCCCTCAGGCTCCGCAAGCTTGGGTATCACTCCTTCTGGTACAGGTTCTATCGGCACATCTGCATCACCGGTTCCAACTTCGTCGGGTAGCCAATCTCTCACTGTCCCGGCTTCAGAAGGACCTTCGTCACCTTCTTCGACTGCCGCCACTACTCTGAATCCTTCAAGTGCTGGTAACGCTACCCTCAGCGATGCTCCCACTTCGTTCTTCAGCACCGGCTCTGTTGCTCCGTCATCCGTCGTTGTGTCCACCCCACCACCCACTTCAGAGACGCCCAAGCCTACATCCACCAAGGGCTCCGCTTCAATCACTATTCCAGCCCTGCCGACTACCACTAGCAAGGCACCGCCGGTCTTTTCCCTTACGCCGACCGCTACCGATAGCGCAACTTCGCTCATCGTTGGTACTAGCATCATCGTTGAGGCTTCGACTATGCCAACCCCCAGCCCCACCGTCAGCAGCATCCCCTCGAGTCTACCACAGATGATTGCGCCGCCTGGAGGAGTCCCTCCCGAGAGGCCGGACAACAGCTTCATGGGCCAAGTGTGTTTCAAGTGGCCGCTCAACTACCCGTTCGTGTCTGCAAACGATGGTGGGCAGCAAATTTTCCACTACCTGCCAATTGCTATCGCAGACGGTTTGAACATCTCAACCTCCGAGGTCAAGAACTTCGGTCTGAAGCCTCTTAACACCATGGAGTACCAGGGTTTCATCACCACTCTTGCCTTGTTCACCATTCCGCAAGATCTGCAGACGAAGCTCGCAGCGCAGCTCCGCAACCCCGCCGATGCTTTCTGGCATAACAAGAACTCCACAGTGAACGACCTCACGACCTTGATCAACACCGCCTGCCCTCTCCCCGCAGGCAAGCTTCCGGGTGACAACAGCCCTGCCAATGCGGCTGCCGAACCAGGTGCTGAGTCCACAGGTGGTTCCGGCGATGGCGGTGCTATGGGAGGCGACATCGGCGCCAGCCGCACTGTCAACAAGACTAGCGCCATCGTCGCTAGCAGTGCCATTGTCGGTGCTATCGCCTACGGTGCAGCCATGTTCTTTGTTGCTCGCCGATACAGGAACAAGCGTATGGCTCACCAGCGCTCGAGCTCTGTCCCCAGCACTAGCCGCATGACCTACGGTTCAATTCCAGGTGGCGCTGCTGCTTGGATGCATGGCGCTCGGAATGGTCGAATGACGCCTGGTAGTCGCGGCAGCCAAGGCAGCAGTACCACTCAGGGTCGCAGTGTCCGAACACAGCAGATCTCGGCTCCGGTCATGGCTGAGAACTCTCTTGGCTGGAACTAAAGCATCACTGCCCTTTCCCTCCCCCACAAAGTCTGCGCCGTTGTACCACAGACCGGACGTGGATGGCTTCGCCTCGTGCCTTCCAATACACCTCCGCCCCCGCGACCGGCTTTGTCCCATATCAACAACAAGTTGTCGCACCGACCTCATCCAAGCTGGTGTTCAGGATCCAGCCGCGAAGCAAATCTCTCATCACTACCGTTCGGACACGTTCGCTTAACCCAACATAAACTTACACTCTATACTTTAACATATATTCTCCTTTCACTGTATTTCACTTCTAAGATACCAGTCTATGCTTGGTCAAGCTAGACCGTTTTTTCCTCTCGTCATTTTGTTGATATATGAAATGGCCATTTCATGCCATGGGTGGAGGGTTTGAGGTTGCTGTCGATATATTCGTTATGCGTTGTACATGCATGAGCGGCAGCGCGCAGGGGCTACTTGTGGGGAGGCTGTCGTTCCGAGTACATAGTTGTAGGGTCGGAATTGAAGAAGAATTCACTTACTTGTTGAGCATAACAAATGCACTTGCGTGATTTGAGGTACGCAGGCGCAAAGCCACAGGGTCCCACATGAGCAACCACAATGTCCAAAGACTGCTCGCATGGTGCATAGATGAGATGATGTATTGAACGTAATTCCCTTGGGGACACGGCGCAGGATCTACAGCCCCGTGCAGCTAGCGGAGGCGGTAATGTTGCGCATTTCGTCTGCTATCGACGGTTTTTTGAACCTGCCGCAGTGGGAAATAGCTGCGTGAACCCTGTCGCTGTCTTGGCGCAGCTCCGCCGAACATCGAACACATTGCGGAGGACACCAAGCAGTAACACCCCAGCGAATCCCGTGACTGGCTTTCTCCCTCTCTGGACTTCCATACCATCGATACCCGTTCACGTTTCCTTGCCTCTCTCCGCGACTGCCTGCGCACCTGTGGACTGGCTACTAAAGCCACGTTCCCATAATCCACCCCTCCGCAATACACAGTTGAGCTATAACAATGCGTCTCGACGTCAAGGTACGCGACAATGCGCCGCTGCATACCTTAGTAGCAAAGAGCAATTCTAACCCGGCTATGAATATAGAGGCAGCTTTTCGCGCGGTCGGAGCGTGTCAAAGGTGAGTAGCCTCAATGGACACTTATCAAGACGTACACTAACATGTTACAGGCATTGGTAAGAACAGCATCTCTGCTAGACATGCTCGCCGCTAAATATCCCCAAAGACTTTCACCCGACCGAGCCATGGATCCTTACGACTTTATACAGCGGTATGCACAGCTGGTCCTCCCGCTACAGGCAAAGTGCTGACAGAGGCAGGACACGTCCACATCTGGTCGTATATATCACAATCGATTGTCAAAACCTTCGAGCTTACCGACGTACCCGTACGCGCTGGTCGTTTCATTGCGAGGAAGAACTGGATAGTCGCTGGTAAAGCCCAAGCAAACCGAAACTATTGGAAAAGAAGTTGACATGCACATTCAGGTTCCGATGACTTCCAGTTGCGCGTCTACAACTACAACACCTCCGAGAAGGTCACATCTTTCGAGGCACACCCCGATTACATCCGCGCAATCGCTGTCCACCCAACACAACCTTTCGTCCTTACCGCCAGTGTGGGTAACAAATCTGAACAACGCAGAAGCGAAGCTGATGTGGCTTTAGGATGACATGACTATAAAGCTTTGGGACTGGGACAAGTCGTGGAAGTGTATGTGGAGTGGTCATACCAAAAGACATGGCATATGCTGACAGATAGCAGGCGTACAAGAGTTCGCCGGCCACCAACACTACGTTATGGGCATCGCGATAAATCCCAAAGACCCCAACACATTCGCCTCCGCGTGTCTCGACCGTACCGTCAAGATATGGTCCCTCGGCAGCTCTACTCCCAACTTTACGCTCGAGGCGCACGAGACCAAGGGTGTCAACTTCATCGACTACTACCCCCAGTCGGACAAGCCATATCTCCTTACAACATCCGATGATCGGACAGTCAAGGTTTGGGACTACACAACAAAAGCGCTGATTGCGACACTCGAAGGCCATACTTCTAACGTCAGTTTCGCCGTATACCACCCCGAGCTCCCCGTCATCATCTCTGGATCGGAAGACGGCACAATCAAAATCTGGCACTCGTCGACCTACCGGTTGGAACAATCCTTGAACTATGGGTTGGAGCGCGCATGGTGTGTATCGTACCAAAAGGGAAGAAATGGCGTGGCACTGGGATTCGACGACGGAGCTGTTGTCATCACCATGGGACGTGAAGAGCCAGCTGTCAGCATGGACGGTAGCGGAAAGTTACTCTGGGCGAAGAACAACGACATTCTCACTTCGGTGATCAAAGGCAGCGACCAGCTCAAGGATGCAGAGAGACTCTCGCTCCCTAGTAAGGATCTTGGTTCAACCGAGCTGTACCCACAGTCATTGCTGCACTCGCCCAACGGACGTTTCGTAGCAGTTTGTGGTGATGGTGAATACATCATCTACACTGCGCTTGCTCTTCGTAACCAAGCTTTCGGCAGCGCTCTCGACTTCTGCTGGGCCTCGAAAGAACACGACAAGGACTACGCCATCCGGGAATCCTCTACCAGCGTCAAGATCTTCCGCAACTTCAAGGAGCGGAGTGTACTGAATGTTGGCTTCTCGGCTGACGGCTTGAGTGGCGGCGTGCTTCTGGGAGTGAAGGGTCAAGGCGGTATCGGCCTATTCGACTGGGACTCTGGCGCCTTGGTTCGACGGATAGAGGTCGAGCCCAAGAGCGTCTACTGGTCTGAGAGCGGGGAACTCGTGACGCTTGCCACGGAAGACACATTCTATGTCCTTCGCTACTCTAGGGAGAACTACCTGGAAGCCGTGCAAAACGGTGAAGTGGACGAGGACGGTGCCGAGTCTGCATTCGAAGTTGTGTGCGACATCAACGAGAGGTACGTTGTAAGAAGCCATTACTGAATCCACAAGCTAATGACAAACAGCGTTCGTACCGGTACCTGGGTTGGAGATTGCTTCATCTACACAAACAGCACAAATCGCCTGAACTACCTTGTCGGCGATCAAACGTACACCATTTCCCACTTCGACTCGCCTCACTACGTCCTTGGATATCTACCTCGTGATTCCAGAATCTATGTCGCTGATAAGGATGTCAATGTGGTCTCCTTCGCGCTGTCTCTGGCTGTCGTTGAGTACCAGACACTTATCCTCCGAGGTGATTTTGAAGCCGCCGAGGAGACCCTTCCCTCTGTGCCCAAGGATCAGAATAACAAGATTGCTCGATTCTTGGAAGGTCAGGGCCAGAAGGAAATGGCGCTCAAGGTTGCCACCGATCCCGAACACCGATTCGATCTCGCTTTGTCCCTTGGAGATCTGGAACAGGCTGTTACAATTGCTCGTGAGCAGGACACGGAGCATAAGTGGAAGACTGTCGGTGATGCTGCTCTCACAAACTGGGATGTCAAGCTCGCGCAAGAATGCTTCGTCAAGGCCAAGGACCTTGGTTCCCTTCTCCTCCTCTACAGCGCAACTTCGGATGCCGCTGGCCTCCGGGAACTCGCTTCCCTAGCCGAGAACGCCACCGCAAACAATGTGGCCTTCTCTGCGCTCTGGCAAATCGGTGATGTCCAGGCGTGTATCGACCTGCTCGTCAAGACCAACCGCCTCGCCGAGGCTGTTCTCTTCTCACAAACGTACAAGCCAAGCGCTACCGCTGGACTTGTCAAGCAATGGAAGGAGTCCCTGGAGAAGGAGAACAAGACCAAGGTTGCTAGACTCCTTGGCACGCCGCCTCAGGACGGTGAGGGAGATGCAGAGATGTTCCCCGAATGGGATGAGTACCTGCGGTTGGAGAAAGAAGGCGGAACGGTGGAGGACCTTTTGATCCAGGAAGACGAAGTAGAGGCGGATGATGCCGATGAGGAGATTGCAGCCGATGCTGAAGAAGATGACGAGGAAGAAGACGAAGACGAGGAAGAGAGCGAGGAAAGTGAGGAGGAGAAGTAGGCGTCTGCATCAAGCGTTGTTTTGCTTGGCGGATCCGTTGTAGCTGCAGTTTGACTTTGGATGTGTGGCTGCTCCACGTAGCGTAGGTACGGTAACGGAAAACGATACAATGATACAGATGTTTCAAATATGTGTTATCCAAAGTTGTGATTTGATATATTGTAGCATGATGTGACGTTATATCACGTCCCTTCGTTAAATCTATGCCTAGCCCACAGAAACGCCACCCATATGTACGTTTGTCTTGTCTTCGTGATATTCCAACATATACAAACATTTTACAAGGCCATACTGATATTCAATGGCAGCGTTGTCATTACTGTACGACAGCCTCGTTGGTCGCGCCCTGGTATGCCGAGTCGCGGAATCTCTCCTCACCACTAGCTGTGCTGTCGCTGCTGCTCGCTTCCTCCGACTCTTCGGAAGTGGTGTGAACTCGACTTCGTACGCGCGCATTCATCTCCTCACGTGTATCGTCCACCGTCTCCATCTCGCGCAGCCCCTTTCCCCGACCGAAGAAGTCTTCTGTCCTCAGTCCACGGACATCGCCCTGTGCCATCCCTTTACTGCTCCTCAGCGTGCCGTCTGCCTTCTTTCTCCTGATGTACTCCCGCACTGGCCCCATGGCCGCATCTCTACACGCCTCCTTGATGTCCGAACCGCTCATGCCAGCCGAGACGCGGACTAGGTAGTTTAGATCAAAGTTCTGGTGGTCGATTTTGGTGCCGCGTAGGATCAGAGAGAAGATGTTGTGACGCTGTGTGGCTGAAGGGAGTGCGACGGGGAACTTCTTGGGCATGCGGCGGAGAATGGCTTCGTCGATATCTTGGATGCGGTTCGTGGCGCCGAGGATGCATATTCGCTGGGGGGTCGATGTGCCCGAGGAGGTGCTGGATGCGAGGCCGTCCCAGTGGGTCATGAATCTAGGGATTGTCAGTCCTACTTTCGTCGCAAGTGGAGTGGGACGGTATTGAGACGTACTCAGCTTTCACCATTCCGCTGGCCTCGTGTTCTCCGCTTCTTCTTTGTCCCAAGACTGCGTCAATCTCGTCGATGAAGACGATACTTGGCTGTAGCTTCCTCGCCAGACTGAAGACGGCGTTGACGAGCTTGTTGCTGTCGCCGTACCATTTCTCCGTTAACGTCGAGATGTGTAGGTTGATGAAGCAGGCGCCGGATTCGTGCGCGAGGGCTTTTGCGAGCATAGTCTTTCCGCAGCCGGGAGGGCCATAGAGGAGGACACCGCTGGGTGCGCTGAGGAGCGAGGAAGAGTGCGAATAGAGGTGGGGCATGGTCAGAGGGTAGATGACGGATTCTTTGAGCTCCTCGATGATAGAGTCGAGGCCACCAATGTCTGGAATGTGTCAGCGTTGCATTGCGACTCAGGCTTCCAGTAGGCCAATTCGCGCGCACTCATGCGCATGATCCCACAGTCCACGGCCCAAGCCCGAACGAGTTTGTGACGTACCCTCGAAGCTCACGGGAATCTCCTCGGGCGCAACCACCTCCATGGCAATCGTCTGCTCGTAGGTATTCAAATTGAGATCCTGTATCCTGGGCCGTCTGTGCCTCGATTCTGTGTCTTCCTCATCTTCACTGTCGTATTCGCCGTAGCTTTTCCGCCGCTTGCTTGTAAGGATGGCGTCGAGTTTACGTGTGGCGGCTGAGGCTTTGGCGCGGGCCTCTTCTTTTTGTTGAGCTTCCGGGTCGAGGCGTGTGAGGAGGTTGCGAATTACGAAGTAGGCTATTAGTGGCTACGGGAATATGAGCATGTAGTCGGCAAGGCAGTGAGGGGCACAGTGGGTGTGGGGAGACTGTGGCGCGTTGGTGGATATAGACGTACTGCTGCAGCTGCCATGAGGATATCTGGGAGATAGCCCGTAAGGCTGCTCTTCTTATTTGCGCTCATGCTCGCGGGGCTGCACTTTCACCAGTGCGCTCGTCTCTGGAGATAGCGTGGGGTTGTGCTCAAAGAGCGAATGCTGGGTCGGGAGGTTGATAGAGCGTGCGGTGTCGATACCAAAAGTAGGGACCGATGCAGGAACCGGGCCGCGGCTACGTCGACCTCAAGCCCGGCGTCACACGAGCTCCGCTCCGCATCCTTGGATCGCATCACATCGCATGCCTTCAACGTCACTCTTCACTCGCACGCATAGTCACAATGGCCGCCGTATACAAGCCTACCGAAGCCATCGCGCTCATTCGACCAACATTCGTCTTACCGCGCATCCGGGCCTCAAATCGCAGAGCGCATATCGGGCGCATCGCCTTCTCCACCATCCACCATGCACAAGCCACACATACGTCGACGAGCAGTCCGACACCAAAACCGCAAAGGAAGTCGATTTCTTTGACCGGCGACACCGGCCAAGTCCGATGGTCTGATCTGTCACCGGGCGAAAAGGCAGTGCGGACCACCCAGCAGAGCTTCAACTTTGTAGTGGTCCTGGTGGGCATAGTAGCAACTGTACAGCTTCCCCTCACCAGTCTACTTTTGGAAGCGGCGACTAACAACTGTATCAGGGCGGTGTCGGCTACTTCCTCTTCTCCGATGTCTTCAGTCCCTCCTCCAAGACTGCCTACTTCAACCGCGCAACGACACTTATACGTCAGGACCCCCGATGTCAAAAATTACTGGGTCCAGGCGCCGAAATCGCTGCTTTTGGTGAAGGCTCTTGGTCGCGATGGGCGCGCAATCGCTACCTCAGCAGTACCGAAGAGACTGACAAGTGGGGCACTGAGCATCTGCGCTTCAGATTCTTTGTCGAGGGGCCGTTGGGACAGGGCGTGGTACATGTACATTTGACCAAGAGACCAAGTCAAAATGACTACGACTACGAGACGCTTGCTGTGGATGTAAAGGGTCATCAGAGGATCGATCTGATTTCCGAGAACAAGAAGGACAAGGTTGCGCCCAAGATTTTTGGCGCGCGGTGGTGGTGAAGACAAATCTCACAGCTCTTCGCAATGGGCTCTGGTGGTCGAGTAGCCATACATCCCTCCAATCAAACCTTTAAATTCTCGCTGCTGAACAGGCAGTTCGTGTCAGCCAACATGCAATTTGTTTTTCCATCCTCAAACGGGCCTTCCCGATGCGCACAGATATGAGAACAGAGCAGGGGCAAGGTAGAAACCTGTGTGCTAGCGCACCACGGACTACACACGACTCTCTTCCCCTGCCCGGGCAAACTTGGTCAGCAAGATTGGGCCAAACCACTGCATTTTGTTTGTGCTTGCTCTAATTGTTTTGCTTCTAGATCCATCAAAATACGTCACACGAGGCTGACAAAAACCATGTGACCCCTCCAGCCTCAGCCATCAAATCCAACTTGACCACGTTCACATATGCACGCTACGGCCTTGTGCATCGCCCCCCTAAACCCTGACCCAGAAGCATCGTTTCTTGAGCCCAGACATCAACCACAATGCCCGTGTCGATATCCCCAGCCCAGCCCAAAGATGCAGTCGACATCGCCGCCCTACATGTCCAAGCGTTCAGCTCCAACGCCCTCATGCGAGCCATCTACCCCACCCCTGCTATATGGGCAGCACTTCAGGGCTGCGTCGAAGAAAAAATCTTAGCTGACATGAAGGAGCCCAAAATTACAGTCCTAGTCGCCAAACACACGGACGAGGCTGAAGTGAGGGAAGAGCAAGGTAAGACTGTAGGCTATGCCGTGTGGTGCCATCCGATCAAGGCCGAAGAGCAGGACTGGAAACTACCAACTTGGAAGTTGCCGGAGGGCACTGATTGGAATGTGTTGAAGCCTTGGTTAGCGGCCGCTGGAAAGACTGTGGAGGAAGTCATTGGGCATACGCCGCATTATGGTAGGTGGTGTTACGTGCTTCTGCATGACCTGAGATGCGGACTAATTGGAGGTCTAGATCTTATGTGGCTCGCTGTATCACCTGATTATTCTCGAATGGGTATTGGTACCTTGCTACTGCGTTGGGGCATGGACTTGTGCGAGAAGGAAGGGGTGCCTGTGTACTTGGACAGTACCGTTGAAGCTGCGCAGACGTTTTATCAGAAAGCGGGCTTCATAGAGAGGGGTAGAATCAGGTTGGTAGTTAATGGGGACATGTACGAGGAGGTCGCTTTTGTGTACGAGCCCAAGCGATAGATGATACCAGAAATGATAATCGCCGAATTGCTATGAAGATGAATAGTCCTACCCGCTTTTTTCCAGCCTACGTCCAAGTCTCGTGTGCTCAGGCCGCATTTCCAGACCGTTCAAAATGAGTGACCCAGTTCCCTTCTCGCAAGCATACTCACGATCTCTTTGGTTAGCGTCGTCGTCATGGCCAGGTCAGGATCATGATCTGGATTGATCTCTGCGATGGACAGTCCAACGACATTGGTGCTAGCCATGAGTATTGTCAGGGCTTGCATCATCGTCTGAAATGCCACACCTGTAAAGTTTGGGACATTTGCCAGCGGGAATTCGCCTGGATCAATGGAGTCAACATCAAGATGGACCCAGATAGCCTCAACCTTGTTCTGCTCAAGGTGCTCCAATGCTTCGTTTGCACGTCTTTCCGGATGGGTTGCCACCGCTTCTGACGAGATAACTTTGAAGTGCTCGTCGTTCAGATATGCTAGGTGCTTCGGCTTGTTCCCCGGGTGGGGAAGGTTTGTGCCAAAGAAAACTGTATCGTTACTGTCGCAGAGCTTCTCACGAGCGAGTACAGGGTCCAGTGTGCCTTCCGATTCGTCACTAATTGCCCCGGGCCGCGCCATGAGCTGCGTCATCGTCTGCAGATGAAGTGTACGAAGTCAGTGTTTGGCTCACGTTCCTCTTGCGTCTGAAGTTTGCTCACCATGCTTGCAAAATAGCCCATCCAATCGTCGTCCAAAGGTGAGTGCAGATCAGTGTCCGCGTCGATATAGACAAGACCCATAGTAGAGTCGTGGTACTCTTTCTTGACAGAGGAAAGGATGGCTGGCAGCATGCAGCACTCGCCCCCAAGAACTAGCTGGAATGCTCTGGGCTCCGCCTCAAAGTTGACGGACATCTTCTTTCGCACTCTGCGAAGGAGCTCCAGATTACCCGTCCTGTTGCGGATATCGCCTGGTACGAAGGGGCTGGGCTTGTAGGTCACCTCTCCGTCGAGCACGTCCGGTCCTGGGACCGAGCCATCGCTCTCGGGGAATTGGCTTGCGTCGATGTCAATAACGTTTACGCCCGCTTCGACCAGTCTGCGGTAGATGTCGACCGTTTTGAAAGCCGCAGCCGCCCTGGACTTCCCTGGTATGATGGAGCCGCAGTCGGCAGCCACGTACGTTACGCATGTCTTTCGCGACTGGTCCATTGTCGTGGTTTGTTGATGCAACTGAGATCGAAAAAGCGTGATTGGAGTAGTTACACAAATGTAATGACTGGTCTTCACTGTAGGCGGGGAAGGATGAATCTACACTGACATGTTGCTCATAGGGCGTGCATGCTGGAGTCTGACTACTCTGGCAGCGACATGACCGCAACCAGCTCACCTATTCTCACATTCCACTGTGAGTTGATTCGTTCCCTCAGTCAACATGTCACCTAGGCCTTGGCGTAAGCTGGCGTGAGTTTGCTTCCAATGATGCCTGGCGACGCCGGTGCCACCTTGCAAAGGCGCGGTGACTGTATGCTACAAGCAAGCTTCTTGCGTCGGCTCAGCGGGAGAGCGAGTGACGATGTCAATGTATCCCTGGAAGGTACAAAGGAAGTGTCATGGATGGTCGCGGCTGATGAACCCGACACGCGTCATGGTGGGAACTTGATGAGAGACAGCGGGTACTTGCTTGTGAAGATTGCAAACGAGGAGTATGCCAGCACATGAAGGTGTATACCGGATGGTGCTGCTAGCTCAAACATGGGCTGAAGCCAATGTCGCATTCGCACAACCTCGCATTCGTCAAACGACGATAAATTTCCAGCCACCATGACTCGACGCACCACCAAAGAACAGAGGAATTGAGTGCACGCTTATGCGCACGCCCCATGGGGATTGACATGTTGAGTCGGGGATGCGCGCCATGCTTTAGCAGCTGATGCAAAGATCCATATTTCAAAGATGGCACGGATAGAGCGGGCGTGGTCTAGTCAGCTAACGGGCCAATGGCAGCGATTCCTTGACACATTCGCAGCTCTCGCACGTTGGCGTTGCATCATGGCTCACACAGTCACGACGCGTTTGGGCTCCAGTTTGCAACTTTGCTTCCCGTTTCGGCGACCCCTTTGATCGCTTCTACCCGCCGGCCTTGTGTTTCGGATCCACAGCCAGGTCGCGACCGAACGCAAATGTATTTTGGGTTGCGGTCCGAGGACCATTACGCACAGCAAAGTGCCGGAACTTCGTAGCCGGAGTACTCAAAGTCTCATGGCGCCTCCAACGTGGCGGTCGTCCTCATCTCTTCTTCTTCTTTTTCCATAAGCACAGCAACCGCACAGCGCTCCCCTCTCCTACGCAGCACCCGCCGCAATGGAGCCCTCGACCACCAACTCGTCGGAGCACACGCACGTCGACTCGCACGAGATGCAGCAGATGCCGCCCACGTACCCCTCGCCCTCGATGCAGCCCGAGCAAGCAACCGGCAAGACGCGGGTCAGGTTCAACAGCTCGGCCAACGTCGAAGTCCCTGCGCCCCTAGAACACGTCCAGAGCTACACCCGCATCAGCGAATCCGGGTCGAATGAAATCACCACCAACGAACACACCACCGACGCCGAAGAGCTCTGGAATGCATACCACACCGGCCAGCAAAGCCACAACGCGCCGCCGGTGAGCGAAGTGGATCCCGAGGGCGCCTACACTGTCACCGGCAACACCAACGGCGGCATCTTCTACCAGCTCCTGCAAGCCTATAAGCAACCGGTGCGCGGCTATACCGATACATCCTCCGAAGCCAGCGAGACATCACCCACACAGAGGTCGCGACCTGGCTCTTCTTCAGGACCCAGCACCCCATCGAAGAAGAAATGGTACAACGCAAACAAGCCAATGCAGTCAACAGAGACGCTGGCGACTCTCGTTGGCGCTTCAGCCAAGCTGGCAAACCCCAAGGATGACAAGAAAGATGCCGCTATGCGCCCGCGCCATCACAAGCGCAGCAGCAGTGGAGGAATCATTGCCAAGGTGTTGAAGCCAAAGGAAGACCAGGATGCCAAGATCAAGATACACGTTGCAAACATCCTCAAGCGACAGCAGTACATCATCCGCATGTGCCGCGCTCTCATGCTCTTTGGCGCACCCACACATCGCCTCGAAGAGTACCTTGCGACAACGGCCAAGGTCCTTGAGATCAACTCCCAATTCCTCTACATCCCCGGGTGTATGATCATCTCCTTCGATGACAGCATGACCCACACCGCTGAAGTCAAGATCGTTCGCACCGATCAAGGCGTCAACCTCGGCAAGCTGAAGGACACTCACGACATCTACAAGGAGGTTTTGCACGACGTCATCAGCTTGGACGAGGCTCTTGCCCGCTTGGACGAGGTCATCAACGCAAAGGATCGCCATCCACGTTGGCTGACTGTCCTCATGTACGGTCTTGCTAGTGCGGCAGTCTCTTGCTTCTTCAAGGCCCGCCCCATCGACATGCCCGTCATCTTCGTACTCGGCATTGTCCTCGGGCTGCTCCAGCTTGTCATCGCTCCGCTGTCCAAGACATACAGCACTGTCTTCGAAATCACTGCGACTATCCTCATGAGCTTCCTTGCGCGGGCGTTTGGTAGCATCAACAACGGGAACCTCTTCTGTTTCTCGGCCATTGCACAGAGCGCCATCGCTCTAATCCTTCCCGGATGGTTGGTGCTCAGCTCGGCCCTGGAGCTCCAGTCTCGTGCTATCGTACCGGGATCTATCCGCCTTGTCTTCGCCATCATCTACTCGCTCTTTCTCGGATACGGCATCACTGTCGGCACAGCTATATACGGTGCGATAGACTCCAACGCCACCAATTCGACCCAGTGCCAGGATCCAATGAACCCATACTGGAACTTCCTCATGGTCCCACTCTACGTCTTCTTCACGACCTTCACGGTACAGGCCAAGTACAAGCAGATGCCGGCTATGATAACCATCGCGTTTGCTGGCTACATTGTCAACTTCTACGCTGGCCTGAAGTTTTCCTCATCTGCCCCCATCGCCTATACATTTGGCGCCTTCACTATTGGCGTGTTGGCAAACTTGTACAGCCGATTACGTCATGGAGTTGCAGCTGCCGTCCTCCTACCTGCAGTATACGTCCAAGTTCCGGGCTCTCTTGCGTCGAGTGGCAGTATCAACTCTGCCCTACGAACAGCATCAGCTCTGATCAAGGGCGCAGAGACATCGACCGACGTCAGCAATCCTTCATCTCGCTACGAAAACATTACTGACGTAGCGCAGACCACCACCGACAGCCTCAATGCCATCGTCTTCAATGTCGCTGCGTCCATGATCCAGATTGCTATCGGCATCACTGTCGGGTTGTTCATGGCTGCCCTTCTGGTCTACCCCATGGGCAAACGACGCAGCGGTCTTTGGACACTCTAAAGTATACATTCTAATATTTTCTGTCATGCATAGCGATATGGCGTTATAGCGACCCAAAATGGGAGGAGTTTGGGACATCTACCTGCTAATGATCTATAGTACTCGAACACCAAGATGTTCAACTTCAATGACCCACATGGAGATGAGTGGTGTCGAGGTGAAATGTGAAGGTAAGCCCCATTGCAACACGAGCGACTCTATCCGAAGCAGTTGTCGACTCGCCTTGCGACAACCAGTTCCAAGCAGCAAGCCGTTGCGACCACTCCACATTGGTTTCCATGCGACATCCGGACCACGCAGCCCTCGCCGGATTTGGACTTCCACAGCGACCAACCTACGCAGCATTGGCCCTAGCAAAACATCCCAAAGAACACCATCATCCGCCTGGATCCACTGCAACCCATCGCCGGATTTAGACCTTGCGCCCAAGCCTCCCATCGGTCAACTTCTGCTCCATGCATCTACTCCCTTCTACGGCACACGCCATTCCACCTATACATACCCGCCCACTCGTCCTGTTTGTGATGCTTCGCTTATGATTGCGAAGCTTGCACAGGTTGATGGCACGATGCACCGCGTAAACGCCCTGATGTTGATACCCCATGCATAGCCCTTTTTCGCTAACCGAAGCTATTCCGTGCAACGTGTCGTGATGTGTTCTATCTTTTTCGATGTGGCATAGGAGGCATAGTATATAGAAAGGCAATGTTGGTCCAGTAGCAAAGTGGACTTCAGATATAGCACAACCATATGCAAATATACACCTTGTTTTTCAAGAACTTGCTTTCCAGACCTGTACTTGTCTTGAGACTTATGAAAGAGCAATACGAAAGTCGTTACATGCTGACAAGAACGTCAAGCGTGGGCACGGAGTTATATGTCGTTTGACAAAACTCTTGCTGGTCATTGAGAAGTACACTGATGAATGATGAGCGGCGAGGTGTGTATCACATAAGCCAGTGTGTCTAACGACGCCTCATAGCAGTGACGTAGCGTGAAGGTGTGCGCTCAGTGACATCACCTCCGATCTAGGAACAGAGAAGGTATCAGGTAGGTGTACAAGCTTTGTAGTCATCGAGCGATCACGGCGACTTCGTTAATCGGAATCACTGCTAGCGAAGCATCACCAAGCTTCTCGTACCAACACTTCGTATCTGCAGCCCTCCATCGAATCGCAATGAAGCCCCGGTGCACAGACTTCTCCCAAGACTTGCGCAACGTCGAAGCTGAGGTACAGTCACCTTCTAGAAGGCCCGTAGAAGACGCACTGACTCATGTGAGACCATGTCCGTTGAGCTCTGGAAAGGGAACGGTCTTGGATCGGGTCCGAAGCGTGCAGGCTGTGATGTGATTGGTGCTGGACGGCTTACGCGATACGGGTATGCAGTCAGCATTGTGGCAGTGGTGTCATCGGTGGTAGTTCGGACCCGCTTTGACTCAAGACTGTAGGTATCAAGATGGATAGTAAGAGGAGTCGTTAGTATGCGTAATGTCGCATAAAGCTAACCATTTAATTTGTGCTTGTGTTGAGTAAAGAGCATCTCTGATAACCGGCCCTTGTCAAACGACGAGATAAAACGTATGCATGTTTCCAGACTGTTGCAGGTATCAACGTACATGATGCTACTGGTACATTATCAAAAGCTCTTTCTAGATGATAGATGGGCAGACGTGCTGCAGGCGGCGATCATCTATCTTCCCCGTCACTTGTTGAGCATTGCATGATAATGGCTATAAATCGTACGATAGATCTGAACGGTGGGGTCTGGTAAGGCGGCGGATCTAAAGCAGCGATAGTTGTCGTAGGGCTGTTAGTGTCCGCCAGGATCTACAAGCGCTGGACCCTGACGTGCGTTCTGCGCTACTACGCTTTGGGACCGTGATAGATGGCTCGAATGTGAGAAGGTGAGTTGAACTGGGTTAGCTGATCCAAATCCATAGCATTGGAACGGGGATGTGGTACAGAGGCCGTGTAATTGTATGTCACACGTCCTATGGTGTTTGGAATGAGCGAAACATGGCAAACCAACGTTGCTACTGGACAGCCTCATCTATCCTGTGTAGATAATGCAGAGTATTTGCATTAACATTCGACACTTCGGTCTAGCGTTTTGTATGTTTCTTGGTGCGCTGTGCCCCGATGCGGATGCAGTGAAGCGGCCTGTAACTCGCCTATGTCCGCCAACTCGCAGGTTAATCTCATCTCCCGCTACTGACCGTTTAGCCGGTGAGATAGCCTCGAAGTTTCATGGGTTTAGGGTGTAAGCTGGAGATTCATGTTGCGGAGAACGAGGTGTGTCAGCAGCGGGGCAGAGAGGTTGTGTTGCCGGTTAGGGATGGCACACTAATGACTTGCAGCGCCGAGACCAAATCGGCGCAGGCTTTAACGAGTATGCTTGACGGCAGCGAATATGGCGGGAGAAGGACCATCAGATAAGATACACGATTCGCTTGAGAATGTATCGGCTGGCAATCCTACTACAAGGTTAGACCAAATAGCCCCATGCGGACCCGGTGGATGCGTAAGACGGCGGGCGGTGGTTCTTCAGCCTACAGGCTCGTTTCGCGAAAGCAGCTCCAGACCGGCAGCCCGAGCCGGTGCGTCCCTCTTGCGAACGTCACTAGTGCGCCGCCACGCTGGAAGTGCAGAATTACTGGTTTCGGTAAGTAGTCCAGCGTAGTCACAGCAGAACGCCGTAGGGCTGTCTCTTTCCACGTGGGTCGTGCAATGTAAGAATCAGACCATACCGGCCAGGTGAGACTCTCCACAGCCTGGCGCAAGGCATCGATAGCGTTTCGAGCAGCAGACATAGGTGCTCTGCATCCTGTAGCCTGCTCGGATGCATACGGTGAGTATATATCACCTTACGTCGCCGAGCATTTTCCTGATGTAAGATGGTGGTCGCTTGGGAATGTTCATGGACAAGGCTACTGATAAGTCATGGCAAGCGCGCTTACGTAGGTAGACTTTCAGCTCAGTTAGCGTTCCACGTGCTGCCACCATAGGGTTCTTTTTCGGCCACCCCCAGGCAGCTGTACCCGACGCTCACCGATCGCCTCCCGACCCTGCGAATACCTGCTTTCCTTCAAATGCACGACAAGACATGTGAAGGAGCGCATTCTACGCTCTGCTCTTTTGTATCAAGCTAGCGAAGCATACGATAGCTGTCTTTTTTCCATAGTCGTCGCACCCGGAAGTCGTAACGCATCCGAATGCGCTAAGGCCTGACATGGTTGTTCTCGCCAGAAGGGCGCAATACACATGGTACCGGGTTATAGCGGTGGTAGCCATTATAGCCCCTGTGTCGGTATTCTCGCAGCGAGCGAGGAAGAGCGGTGACAGAATTGCATGCACTTTACATCGTTCCCAGTTAGCGCGAACGACACTTCACTACGACCGAACTTCGGCCCAAGGCTCGCAGTGGAAGCGAAGGCTCAACAGCCCAGCTGAACGTAGTTTTGGGTCAGTGCATCGCTCTGACGTCGTCATGTAGACAAGTTCCTTAGACTCAGCGCAATACAGAGCGTCTGCGTTGAGGTATGTGAGCCCCTCACTACGAATGTTGTTCGATCGATCGTTCAAGATACCTCATCACAGCCAAGGACTGCCGAACTTCTGGAGATCCAGCCCTACCATGCATCTTGTGCGGGACGATAACCCTCAAGTGGGGTGGTTTTCTATGAAGACAAGACCAGGCACCTCTCTGACTGTCACCAAATGCGACAGCGAACTACTTTGATACCGTGGTTTTGGTTGGCTGCAAATTGTTGCAGCTAGTTCAGCATGCGTACTAATCTTTTTATCAAAGACTTGAAAGAGTAAAGCGCACGCCTCCATGCAGACCCCTGTCTCGCGGCCATGGCTGGTGTAACTCTGGGAACCACTCGAAGACGAGAATAACAACAACTGGTGTGCTTGCTGCACTGGTGGGCCGTGCTTCGGACGCGTGTGCCGGTAGCAGCTGTATGAGCATGCGATTCAAGCTATCTTCTGCACGTATTCCGCTGAAAGCCACATCTTCAGGGTCCACCATGGCCGTTGGGGTTGTTCGCGGGCATAATTGCATGGTCGGATATCCCTGCTCAAGCCACTGGCCGCCATCTCATGTGACTCGACGCGGTTCCGAAGGAGACATGCGCGACGTCCGCACAGTGTATAAGATCTCAGCTTGCCCACCATTGTGTAAGCCATCTCCACCACACACGTATCTCAACTTGAACTGACACGACACTTGCACATTATCTCAGCAGCGGCTTCCAACACAAGTCTTAATCACAAGAAGAACAATCGCTCATTCCTATACACCATTCTGCCTTGCGCAAAGACTTACCAACTTTCTCGTCATCACTTATCTGCAATCGCAAATCACACACAATGGATTCTCACTCATTCGATTACTGGATGGCACAGGGAAACTACATTGCCCCAACACATCAGCCAGCCGTATTCGAAATGCCTCCCGATCTCTCCAAAGTTCCGAGTCTAAGCGGATCGCCTGTGAGTCTTATGTTGAACTCCCCTAGTTTACAAAACTGACTTGCTCAAGGTCTCATCTACATACGACCAATTTCCTGCACCTATTCACCAAGCTTACTACCCTCACATCGTCGATGAACCTATGCAGTTTGGATCATACCCCATGCCAATGACACCCTCCGATTTCGGATCCGATCACGACAGTCCATACTGCAGTCCTCGACCACTGCAGCACGCTGAATCTACGTTCGGGACTATGCCTACGCCCGCGCCAACAGAACGAACACACACTACCTCAGGGGTATGTATCCTATATCGCACAAATAAACCTAAGACTAACATGTGTACAGCGACGAAGGGCTCAAAATCGTGCCGCTCAACGTGCGTTTCGAGAGCGGAAAGAGAAGCACGCCCGAGATCTTGAAGCGCAGCTTGCGGTCTTGAACGAAAGATACACTAAGCTCGAAGTATCGCATACGGAGCTTAACGCGGCCTACGAAAAGCTTCGAAAGACCATCGAGCTTCTTACACAGGACGACGACGCGGAGGGTGAGGATGATGAGGGTACAGTCACGCGCAGGCGAGGGAGCAACTCGGATACCCTCCGCAAGCTCCTGGATATACTACATGGGGAATTCAAGGGTACGGTACCCGTGAAGACAGAGATATCCTAGCATTTCGTTGGCTAAAGATGCTCGGGCACTGCGTTTCCTTCTTTTCAACTTCGCTTCTTGTCTATACCCATTTTGCTTTTGCTCTTCAGTCAGCGTTCATTGGGCACTAGCCTGCAGGTGTCTTTCAGCTACATTTACTTTTTCGTCTGCAAAACCCTGTTCACCAAGAATTTCTGAACTACTTTCCAACGCGTGGTGTGACGATCACCACTGGTTGATACCAGCCTTCACTACATGGTCAAGACCCACGAAGCTACGGCCAATCTATCGTAGATAGTACCTAATACGGAATTGTACCCACCATACTGTAAGATGGACTTCGCTTACGCGCTTTTAGCCCCTCGAGGACCTGCGTGATTCCCATTCCTGGCCATAGGCGAGCGTACGTGAATACGATCGTCCAGATAGTTGCTTCCTGTGATTGACAACAGCCCCAAATCGCTCCCCATAATTCCGAATTGAAGCACTGAAATGCCGATATAGGAAGCCGGCCCGTCAGCATCAGCCAAATTGCCTATACATCTCCGCAATGCCGCCAATGAACATCGCAGAAACTCCGATCGGAGTATGCTCATCTCTTACCAGCCCCAAAATCTCACTGTGGCACCTGGGGGTTGATCGTGGGAAAGTCAGCTGTGGCAGATAGCCCGAAGGATGGGAAGCTAGGGCCCGACGGTACCCAGTCGTCTCACTTCATGGCCGCAGTGAAGTGGCCGTATGCTAGATTTGGACATGCTACGTATTTGACGGCATTGAGAGTTTTGTCCTATTTGCGGGTTAAGAACTTCCTGATATGGCCATCAGATGTGCATCTTGAAGTTTGAGGTTGAAGAAGAGGTCTCTCGTTTATAGTGTTATGGGGCTAGATCAGGCGTGGCGGAAAGGGTACCCGGGTGTTCGATCTCGGTGAACGCCTACGCACGTGTATCGCAGTCGCCCCCAAAACCACCAACTTCTTACAATTTGGTTTCTAGAGGGATAAGATGTTGCAGTAAGTCTTTGCACTATTTAGTCAATCATCATGTAGAACCCAAGGGCGTTTCTCGATTGTCACTCACCAAGCAAATGTTGCCGGCAAGGATATCGCCCCGTAAACCTTGACCACCCACTACCATAATCCTGGGACGTCGCTGTACTTTACCATGCCAAGTCCAGCTCGCGACTTCAACGATATGCGCCAGCGTATGACACAGAGAAAATGTCAAGCGATGCACCCAAAGCGCGACGCGAGCGTGACCTCGTAAATGCAAGCCCTCACACGCGACAGATGGAGGCGCATCACGCCAATCCCAAAGTCGCTGCCGCTCGCCCTCCTGCATCGCTCTTGCCCCACCCATAATTGCGCCTTGCATGTTGCCGTGTCCAGGCAGCACGGTAACAGCGAAAAGGTAAGAATAGACGAGGCAACCGTGGACTAGCAGCTCGTATCTATTGAGTCCTTAGCTTGTACTGAACAATCCCGCGAAGCTTGAATATTGCGGCACTCGATTTCCTGCACGACGGGAAATCGCGCCGCACTCTTATCACCCAAAAATAGCTGTTTTGCCGCACGATACCACCTCACTAATTTGAGGATGGGAATGACGACATCGGCAAACTTGATGTCCAGAACAGCTTCCGGTGTTGAGGGTCTGCTAGTATTGGTGTACCGGCTTTGGCCCATACGCGGATGCTGTCAACAGATGTTAGCTCGGAAGCGTTCTTTCCCAAAGCGACCACATCGATGAGCTACTTCATGGTTTCGCCGAAAGAGGAAGCGACCAGTGGGTAATCGTATCCAGAGACTAACCACATAGGTCAAGTTGTCAACGAACCATACTGAGTCCTTCTCTATAGTACTTAATCTCTAGTCGTCGGTGAATGTTAGGAACCACAGAGTGACATCACAGCCTTGGAGGATATCTCGATGTGAGCGAAAAGTGTCAGGATTATTACGTAGTAGTCTAAGATCATTAATTAGTTGCCCTCCCTAGTAGAAATGTGAAACCGTCTCCGCATCGATGTCCTCATGTTTATCCCGTGACGTAACGCCAATCCCCAAATGTCATGTTTCAGATCGTTTCTCATTAATCGACAGGCCTTGGTGGAAACAAACTTCCGTCGTCATAGGTGATGCTTTCAGCAAGCAATGTTACCGGCCGTCGCGCCGGTACCTTGGCCTTCTGGCGCAGCGACGAAGTCGTCGCTGGTCAAGGCTCTGCTGAACATCAAACAGGCCGTCTCTAGTTGTCCGCCAGCTGTGCCATAGTACCCTGCCGGTACTACCACGTTCTCTGCCCAGTATGATGTCTTGCACTCTGTGTGGTATCCGTAGCCGTAACATTGTTGAAGGCACTGCTGTGCCATGGCGGTTGTATTCGACGAGTAGGAAGGGTAGTAGGAGCTGTAGAGGATGTCGTCGTGGGCAGCCGGCGACGGTATGTAAGATGCATTTGACCCAGTGGGCAGAGGGTCGGTGACGGTACAGGTTGCGGGGATAGGTACAATTGCAGGGCCGCCCGCCCGAGCAACTGTATTCGACGTAGGTAGCGCGGACGTCAGCGAGCAGAAGGCCGTAGCGAGGATTGTGGTTGAAGTGAACAACATGTTTACTGAAGAAGTCGATAACTAGACAACGACTGTTGGAAGGATATATATGTAGATTGAATGTGCAGGATTAAGATGCAGTTGCTGGTGGATGGCCCCACGATAATTGACGTGTTGGAAGCTGTATAAGTATTCCTGCGCCTCGCTGCATGATGCCTGTTGGTGTGATGTCAATGTGGGTAGGTGGTAGGGCCAACTCGCTCGTCAGTGTTCAGCCGCAGCGCTGTGCGTCCAACAGCATTTAGCCTGGTAACGATCGCCGCTCAAAGCCACTTTTAGTGCGACTATACCTCGCAACCTTTATCCCTCCCTCGTACGTATGCCCTCTAACAAGGGGCGATGTAACGGGCATGACCATTTACGAAGAGTTTGCTGATGCCGCATTGTCCGAGATGATGTCAAGGGCACTTTTGCTGTGACACCGGCCCATCAAGGTTGGGAGCAACGCAGGGTAATCCTGGAATAGGCCGTCTTCGTCATATTTGTTCGCTGGTGAAATGTCTCAGACCCGATGGCGCGCGCTTTATTGTGTTGGTGGTGATATTGTCGTGCGTGAGGGATGACCAGAGCCGCGGAAAGAAGCTTTACTAGAAGCGGAGGCGGTTTTCTCCGCATGGGGGAAGGAAGTGCAACTCGACACGCCACCAATATACCAACATACTGGGATCCATACCTCTCAATTGTAGCGGTCTTTCGTAGAAACGAACCTGCACAGCAGCCATGTCGACACGCAACAAACAAGGTGAGTAGTTTTAGAAGAGACTGAATTTAGGCAATGCAGGTGGTGACGACACCATCCCACACCATAATGGCGCGTTGCATCAACTTCCGAAGTCGACCATCTCACTGCGATGAGGAACATCTCAGAACCCATCATCCATCTTGAGTATCACACACCATGGCTGCGCCCCCAAAAAAATCTCTACAGTCCCTTTCCGGCAAATGGCAACTAAACAAAGCCTGCTCCGATGACTTTGCCTCAGTCCTCGCACTGCAAGGCGTCAACGTCCTAGTCCGCAAGACAGCCACCGCAGCATCCATCCATCTGAACATAAGCCAGCCCGACAACCAATACATCAAGATGGCGCAGTCAATCACAAGCGGAAAAATCCCCGGTACGACCGAAGAGTACACGTTGGACTACGAGTGGCGTACCAATAAGGACGGTTTCTTTGGTGAGGTAGCCGGAAGGAGTCAATGGGTCAGTGTTGAAGAGGGGAGGCAGACGGGCGTAGTTGATGAGGGCGAGGGTGACTGGATCGAAGGAGATAGCGACGGGAAATTGATCCACGCAGAAGGAAAAAAAGAGGGCGAGTGGGAGGCTAGTCATCTTTGGGGTTTCGAGGTTGTTGATGGAGAGAGGAGACATACGAGACGCGTGAAGATCAGCAACAACAAAGGCGAGGAACTGAGGGTGAGAATGGTGTATGACTTTGTGGGCGAATAGCTTGTCAAGCTGCAACACGCAGTGAAGGCATAGTAGCACACGCAAAAGAGCTAAGTATACCCAGAGCATTGATTGCAAGACTTCGTCTCAGTGTGGAATTATGCCAAAAGCTGATTGCGCATGTCTGATGTTTCCAACTATCTACACCTGCCTTGGCAATACACAATTGTTATCCACTGTCCGCTATTCAGAAGACCTTGCCGAATGAACTGAACCTGTAAACTAACTCCAACTCTGCGCAGCGAGACTGTCAAACAATCGAAAATGACCTGCGCCAAGACAAGGTTCTCTCTCGCGTTACATGTTCCTTATTTCCAGCCACTTAACCCTGCCCATGGGTCATTGCCATTCTGTCCTTGCGCTGGCCTCTGCTGGTTCGCATATCCGCCAGGTCCATTCGGATACCCTCCTTGGCTAAAGTGACTGTAATCTTGCTGATTGTGACTCGGTGGCGGTCCCGGGGGAGGTGGCGGTGGAACATAACCCTGTGGTAGATTGTTCTGAGGTGTACCACCCCATTGTTGTTGCTGGTTTGGAGGGGGTTGACCCCATGGCTGATGCTGCTGATGCTGTGCAGGTGGCGGGGAGAAGAATTGTTGATGTGCCGGTGGGGAGACCGGGTTGTATTGGTTTTGAACCGCGGGATTGTAAGCCGAGGAGCCCTGAGAGTTCTGGGACTGATGTGTAGGGTATTGTTGTTGGTAGCTCTCTCGACGCGGAGGTGGTTGCTGGTTGTAGCCGTTCGACGGTTGACCATAGGACTGCTGTGGCGACATGTATTGTTGCCCTGGGCCTGTGGTCATCGGGTAGCGCGGTGTGACTGGTGGTGAAGCCGCGGGGTTATAAGCAGGATGGCCAGCCCCCGAACTTGATGGGTAGCCCGGTGTAGAAGACAGTGGTGGTGGTATGCTCTTCTTGCGACCTCCACCTTGTGATACCGGCGAACCCGAAGGCTCCAAGGACATTCTCTCCATAAGGTCTTTCATCCGTTGTTGTTCCTGGTCTGCACCTTGTGTCTTGTTTCGCTCTTCAATCTTCGACAGTAGCTGTCCGCCTTCACTCCGCCTGTTGTTAACGAACGTCTCAACATTCTTCTGCAGACTTAGCACGGTGTCTTTCATCTCCGTGTAGAAGCTTTGGGCGCGCATCAAGCCAGCGACGAGGTCATTGAAACTTTGATACACTCTGCGATACTTCGTCATAACTGTGTTTCGCTGCCGCGAGAAGGCTTCGTATTTGCTCTGCTCAGATCGCACACGCTTGTCTTTCAGCAGATCGGAGTAAGTCCGGGTCAGCTCTTTCAAAAACGAAGCTTGTTTATGATTGGCTTGCAGTATACGATTTTGATGTGGTCTGAACTTCTCCAGCTCAGCTTTGAACAATTGCGACTCCTGATTCGCAATGGCTTTCTTGTTGAGGATGAGTACGTTAGAGATGTCGTCAGAGTGAACCTGTTTCAGTCAGTATACGTTATGAGGGGAAGTCGACGGCCATGTACCTTGTCTTTGAGATCCTTCAGTATCTGGGTCCTCTCCTTCTTTACAAGATTCAGCTTCCGTAGAATATCCTCGACGGCTGCTATTTGATCGGTGACTGACGGACCCTCGTCAATGTCATCATCGATAAGGTTGCCTTCCATTGGCCTAGGGCTTTTGCCCTTGCTTGCGCCTGCCTTGACCATAGCCCGGGAATATAACACATCGGCTTCATCTGTCTCACCAGCTGAACGCATCTCGTCAAAGTCGGCCTCACATTGCCTAAACGTGTTGTATAGCTGTGCGTCGCTGGTGCTCGCCTCTTGAATTGCCCCTCGATAGTTTCTGATATCGTTTCGTAATGTCGAGGTTAACCGCGAGCTAGGTTGCTGTGTCCACTCGGATCCGTACTTGGACCTCATCTTCTCGCAGACACTCTCTTCCATGTCTAATTGCTTCATACTGGCATCGAGAGAGTTCATTATCTCGGTCTTGTCCCTTTCCAGTTGTTCGAACGCAGGGCCAAATGATTGATGCCCAGCGAGCTCTTCGCACCACTTTCGAAAGTCGTTATCCACCATCATATCTTGGTCCATGCCTCCTCGCAGCACATTGAGACTGTCAGGTAGCTTGAGATAGTCGAGACTAGCGGCCATCTCGTCGTTGGCGACCTCGACACGCTCGCTCTCAGCCCGTATAAGCTTGGCCTTCTCTTCGTCGTACAGACTAGCCGATTCAGTGACGGCTAGAGGTACAATCTTTTGAAAGATATCTGGCCCGATGATTCTCTGAATGTCCTGACCCTGGTATAACTCGCTGACGGGTATCGCCTTGGCCGCAGGCATCTTGGGCACTGGTGTCAAGGCCGCTTCATTCGGAATGCCTTGGTGATAGATGAAGTCGTTGTCTTTGCCAAACTCTAGCAGCTTTTCCTGAACGTTGGTCAGGTGTTTCTTCGTCATCTCTGCGAGTATGCCTCCAGTCTCTGAAGTTAGGTTCGAGTTGGCTGGCGCGTTGTTGGGGAAGCTGTGGGCTGCTCGATTGGCGTCTTTGGCATGCGCTTCGGCGACTTGTAGCCTGCAGATGGCTGCGCCGTGAATGTTGGCGTCATCGTCAGCCAGAGCTTGATAGTACTGGGCTAGCGAAGCCATGTGGTGCGATTTGATCTGCGCGACCGTTAGTTTTGATAGCAAGTAATGCTGTGATATTCTCACCTGGCAAACCAATAGCCAGACCTTTTCGAACACAGCGTTCGTAACGTTTTCCTGCGCCCCTTCCGTTGCCTGTGTGTACAGAAAAGCGGCCTGACTGGCAAGTTTTGCCAGCAAGCCGACCTTCTTGCCGTCCGCAATCTGCTTCTCCAGAAAGACTTCTTGCGCCTGTGCCAGCATGATGGCGATCAAAGTCTTGACAGTCTCGCGACTGAGGTCGGTCGAGGGTGCGTGCAAGAAGTTCTCGTTGATGTAGGTGAACATGCCGGCGGAGGCCTGGAACGAATGGTACGAGGTTTTGAGCCCAACATCTTCGTGGCGGTTCTGGTGGGCGGCGTGACAAGATAGGACGGCTGAGATGTTGAAGATGATGCTGGCCTTTTCGTATGCGAGGGAGTACTGAGAGGTTGGTTTGTGTGTAAAGGCGTCGAACCTGACGCTGGTTAGTCTTGGGCGTACTCTTGCCTAATCCGTCTGCTTCTCAGGTGCTCCTTCCCGTTTGCCAACGTACCATGTGAAACTTATTTTGATGTGGTTCTCATCCACCGGAAACCTCAGGTCGAGCAGTTCCAGCTGCCCGTAGTATCTGTAGAGCAAATCCCGGCCTGCTGCACTGTCCTTGCCAGCGCCTCTCATATCCTGACGCAAGCGATTCAGCGTGCCACACTCCTCCGAGTAGCGCTCTGGGTCGTCGCCATACGTGGCGCGTATGTACTGCTTCAGCGGGGCTATCCAGTCGATCTCGCTGGTCTGCTTCATGGGCACCGAGATCATGGGTATTTGCGTCGTCATGGTGGGCGAAGGGTGCGCTGGGGAGGCCGCCGCTGGGCGCGCTTTCTGTAGAGGTATCGCCGCGAGGGGAGGCTCTTGGGCTCGCGGGTGTGGTGATCGGCGACAATGGCGTAGGCGACAACGTGGGAAGTGGGCTGTCGTGGGCCTCGGATGGCGCGCTAGAACAGTAGCTGCAAATGCGCGTGCCTAGTACTCTGGGATGGATATGTCGATGCTTTGCTCGCGAAGTAGCAGAGCATTCACGCAGCGGATGACGTCGCGAGAGTGTACATGCACAGCGGGACGATGCGTTGGTCGGGTAGCTCGTTCACGTAGTCAATCGTTGGCGGGTGAGCAGCCGCATGGGGCACGATCTAGTCAATCCGAGTCCTGGGAACGATTGTGATGCGGCACAGCGAAAGCTTAAATGCCCAGGTGGTAACAATGCAGACGATGTTTGGTGTCGTCGGTGAGCTCGGAGGGTGCGAGTGATGTTGGTGGGGAAGACGCAGGCACATGCATAAGCAACACCAGAGCCGCGACTTCCTCATCCACGCTCGCCTATCACACCTCCAGCACGCCACGCGAGCCAGACCGCTATCGATATGTGACTCTTCAAGCTCGTCACACCGTCGCGGAAATTCAGCGAGACGTTCAAGCCGACCCCAGCTGTGCGGCTCGCGCCGGCCAATGACCATGCAAGGAGACCGAGAGTCTCGCCTTGGTTACGCGCCCGCGATATTGGGTAGGAGAAGCTAGCGAGTGCCTCAATTCGTAAACATCTTGGGCTTCTTTCCGTGCGTCATAAACAGCGTGATATTCTACAAGCCTGAGTCGAGAGGCCAAATACTAATACTTCTATACATCATGCTCAACCAGTCTCCATATGCGCCTTGAATGCTCTCAATCGTCTTGCTGCAAACATGATAACATGAGTCGCATGGGTCGTCCCGTACGCCCGCCTTATTATACAACGTGTCCTCATATCATGAACGTAGGCTCAGCCAGATCCTCGCTTCTTCTCGTCTTCTTCCGCCTTACGCCTTTCCTCTGGGTCCAGGTGCTTATGTTGCCCAGTCAGGTTATGCCATGCGCTCTTCAAAAAGCCCTCATTCGAGTGATCGTTCCCAACACTGTTGCCATGTTGGTCCTTCATCTTTCCAGGGTTGATGACGCGTTGCGCGTTGTTGTCTCCCATCTCGTCTGCCAGCATCTCGAGAATGGTCCGCTGGTTGACGCTGAGATACTTCGGCATGTTGACCTTGAACTCAACGCGCAAATCGCCCTTGGCGCCTCGTCGGCCGGAGAGTACTTTCATGCCCATGCCAGACAATGTGACGCGGTCACCTGTTCCAGATCCAGTGGGGACCTTGACCTTGACTTCACCTTCGAGGGTAGGTACCCTGATCTCTCCTCCCAGTACAGCAGTCGTGAAGGGGATGGTGGCTGTATGAAGAATGTCCGAACCATTGCGCTTGAACTTCGAGTCAGCTGCTACGCGAATGAGGACGTAAAGATCTCCTCTCTGGCCGCGGATGGTGCCAGAAGACATGGCATGGCCCGTGAGTGGTGCGTCTCCCTCGCCGTTAACGCGCAACCGCATACCGTCTTCTACACCACCAGGGATGTCAATGGTGATGTTCTTGCGCTCCTTGACTGCTCCATCGCCGCCACAAGTGCCACAAGACGAGCCCCGGGGTATCGCAAATCCAGATCCACCGCAGGATGAGCAAGTTGCGCTCATATGGAAGCCGCCCATGCTCGTTACCCTCTGTCCAGTACCCCCACAGCTCTTACACTCTGCTCTCTTGGCACCCTGCTTCAAGCCACTGCCACTACATGTCCCGCACTCTGCCATGGGGGTAATGTGTATGTCCTTCTTGACACCCTTGGCCGCGTCCAAGAACGAGATGTTTGTCTGTACTTCGATGTTGTCGCCAACCATGATCTCTTCTTCAAACGGATTCCTTCTCCCGCCTCCGCCTCTTCCTCGTCGTCCACCTGTGAAAGCTCCGAACAGATCTTCGAAATTGATGTCCTGGAATCCGCCCGCACCCTGGGCGCCACCGAAGCCGCCAAACCCACCGAAGCCTCCTCCTCCGAACGGGTTTCCTCCCGGGCCTCCAGCGCTAGCCCCAGGGTTGAAGCCGCCATTCGCATCGAAAGCACCGGCGCCATAGGAGTCAAAGGCCTTCTTCTTTTCGGCGTCTGAGAGGATTTCGTATGCGGATTGTGCGGCGGCAAACTTCTCTTTCGCACCGGCGTCTTTGTTCGTATCGGGGTGGTACTTCTTGGCCATACCATAGTAGGCCTTCTTTATGTCCGCGGCGGATGCGTTCTTACCGACTCCGAGGGTTTGATACGGGTCGGCCATGGCGAAGGACGGGGGAGAGGCGTGGAAGAACTGTGCATGCTGTGTTAGTAACTCAACCCGGAACAGAGCGAAACCAGATGCTACGTACTCGTATTGACTGCGCATTGTGCGGTTGTTGCCTCTGTGCGATTGACGGTCTCCGCGATTGTGTTTGCGAGGCCTGCGTCGCTATACATCGTCGTTGACATTTGGCGAAGGACCTCGAGCCGGCGATGCGCACGGGAGCCACCGCCTTGAGCGGCATGGGACCAGCGAAGCTCATCCTGAAACGGTGCGGAGGTGAGTAATGACTGTATTGATACTGCTTTTCGCTATGGGCTTCGACCTGTGGTGTATAATCCGACAATCGACAACTTTTTGCGGGCACGGGCCGGTGACGCAACTTCATTGGCTGCCCTCGGCAAAGAGCGCGTCGAAGCTTCGAGAGTTTACTATGACGCGACTACGGTTTAGCAAAGCGCTCGCATAGATAAACGAACGGATGTATTTATTCTGGCTGATGCTTGCATATCCTGATACTAGCTCTGCCATTTGCCCTTGTTCGCCATGCGGAACGCACATGGCAGGCAGACATGCTATGGACTCGACGCACCGAGGCGCATCCGCTACACCCAGTCCGATTCCTGGTATTATCAAATGCTCATTGCCGATCATCCTTTATCTCTGTATGTTCCATGCTCGGGGTCGTTTGTGGACATCAGACCGACCTACGCGGTCAAACCAAGCCGTGATGCGTAACCCTTCCCTGTTCATTAATGCCCAGTATCCCAAACTCCTGTTCAATGCTTGCATGTCGTGTGTAAAAAAAAAGTGGTGGCTATCGTGCCAAAGAGGGGTATCGTCGAAGAAAGTCGAAAATGCAGCGATGTATAGGCGCGAGTGACCCAGTCACTTCCTTTGGGGTGCGAAGCGCACGCGGAACTCGTTGTCTGTGTTATGAATTAGCCTAGTCACGGTATCGGAGTATGCTCGCAATGCGTACCCTGGTGTTTCGACTTGTAGAGCCAGTCGACAATCACGTCGCTCTCTGTCACAGCCTGGGAGTTGAAGCTTTTCTTGACCGCCATACCCAGCTGGTCCTTCTGAACACGTCGTTTGCCCTTTGGTCGCGCCATGGTGGGAGACATGCGCCCAATGCCCTGGCTCAGTACGACGTGGCTGAGCGGGTTCTTGAAGCTTGACGGGCAATCGAGTCGGTAGGCTCTACGGTAGCCCTGGAGAACGGAGGGGTCTTGCGATGACCATTTGATCTATTGCGACGAGGGCGTGTTAGCAATGGAAGGCGCAGGCGTGTGAGGGGGAAAGAGTGAGGGCGCGACGAACGTTTCCTGACGAACTGAGATCGGTCGACGTTTGGCCACTGTTGGTAGAGGCATTGTCCACTTCCTTCAGGCTGCTGCCATTTAGGGCGCCGGCACCACCGTTGCGACGACCGCCCCGCGCGTTGGAGCCCTGGAGGTTCTGTAGTTTGTCCTTGAGCGACGTGTGCGCCTCGTCGTGGGCTTGGGTGCGTTTGGGCGGCATGCTGGAGGACCAATGGCGGGTTTTGACAGAGAAGGAACGATGCTGGCGCTTGCTCTGAAGGTAGATGGGCCTGTCCGTGTTTGGCCAAGGTCAGCATGCAGTGGTCGAGTGCTGGTCGCCAGCGAGATGGAGAGCAAAATGACGGCCAAGGCCCAAGCGCGCAATGACGTTGGCGCGCTTCTCGGTCAGGGTCCTCCTTTCCCTTCCCCTGCATTAGGCCATCTACCGCGAGCTCCTCCCAATCTCGACGAGATGTTCGTCCCATGATGCTTCGTCTTTGAACAAGACTGTCGCTCTATCCCCCCAACGGAATTAACGAGCATGCCTGGTGCCGTCGCCTGCTTCACGCTGTGTCGCGTATGTCGCGTGTCGCTCCGCGGCTTCCCCTCACCATCCCGGTCACGCGCGTAGTGCACCCCGAGTCGGAACCAGCTACTTGTCCATGTGCGCCGACCCACGACTCGCAGATACAACTCGATGCTGCAAATAGGCCTATTGATGCCTGAGTCTGCGCCTGATATGAAGAGAGCGGACTTCGGGCGGTGATCCCACAGTTGACCTCGCAGCTGCGCGTTTCTGACGCGCCCCATCGACTTCAACATCTAGCAGCACTTCGGCGGAAAGTAAGACTTGTAGTCATTGGGCCTTTGGACGCGCATCTCTGCAGCGTAGTCGTCGACCTCGTGAGCGCGGGGTACCAAGAGCCAGACTGGAACCGCGATAAGCGAAGGGCCACAGAACCAGGGGATTTTACCGACGTCGTTGCGAGTGGATGCCAGAGCATGGGGAAAGAGAAGATGTTGACGGAGTCGGGAAGAGCTCGGAAGCGAGGTACCCGCCTCTCACGATTAGCTCAATTCGATACCCAACGGGGACCAATGCGTAGGTATTAGACTTGAGATAAATCCGTGTCAATTCTGAGCACAGTCGAGGCGCGAAGCTAGTGCTATAGTCTGACTGTAAGGGTAGGTAGATGATACGTGCTTGACAAGCATCAAACTCCTAGAGAGCCCAGTAACGCCCACATCGACTCTGGGCCTGAATAGAACCTGCGATAAACTTTCACTTGAGTGCAAAGCAGCAACCACATTCTCGGTAAGGCGTGACATGTCTAGTGCCCAGCGACATCCCACCAGCGCCGTGAGGAATGTGTATAGTGCCAAACACTTCCCAAGATCTTGCGTAATCAACGCAATGGCACAAAGCTTGAATGTCCTACCGGTATCTTCGATGGGATGAACTTCACCTCATTCTCGTCTGCAGACACCACCACCCCGGCATCACCGCAACCTCATCTCTTTTACCTGAGATAGCATAGAGCTGCCGCTATGCCACCGCCTCTGTTTCCCAGATCCACGACTCTCATCTGTGGCCTATATAAAGAAGTCTTCTGAGGTTTCCAACCGTCCCTCCTCCATTCCTTTCTATATTATATGTCCCCAGCATATAACTTCCAGCACGTCTCACTTGATCACACCATCTCACAACGATAGCACATCGGTTTACGGTAAGACTTTGAGCCTCTTACTCTTAGATCCACCTCAAGCTGACAATTTCCTGCAGTCTCAACAACTCCGAGTACCCAAGAGCTACAAGTCATCCTGGTTGGAGAAGTCTAGTACTCTCGTGGTACAATGTCTAATCGCGATCCAGTCCTTCACGGCCAACACTCGCAGCGATTCCACAACATCAGCTACACGATGAACCCCGCGGCCAACAACTTCGCTCCAACCGGTTCTCGGCACGGCGCGCCCAGCCAGGTGAGCACCCCTTCCTCTCCATACTTGGAGGCAAGGACTCTCAACCTGGAAGAGGGGCATGCAAAGATACGCGCAGACATCGACACTCTCCAAGAGATGTACCATGGCCTCTCATTGTCCGTCGACAAGCTCAAGAAGGGCGGTTGGCCGGTACATGTTGGCCCATTCCAAGAGGTGGATGTACAGAAATCACACCAAAGCGCCGTAGAGTTCGGGATCGAGCTGGAGAAACTTAAGGAAGAGGTTCAGGGATCTGTAAACGGTGGCGCTGACGTACAAAAGGTGAACAGCAGTACACCTCCCCATCTCAGGACTTCCAGCGATACCAGCAGCGGTACAGTCAAGACATCTCTGCCTCCGCATTTGCGAGGTAAAAAGCTCGAGTCTACCAATGGCCAAGTGTGAGTGTATCCTTAGATGCATGGACGAGTTTTGGAGTTACTTGAAGCTGACAAGGACAAAGTACCCGCACCACCAACACCCATCAAGTCGATGTCGTCTCCAAGCAGATCCCCACACCTGCTTTAAGCCCACCTGCTTCACCACTAATTGCCGTCCAAGATCCCGCCCTGTCCATCGAAGGCGTTTCTCTGGATGCAGCGTGGAAGCCTTACCATCTTACAACCCTGCCCGCGTTCTCCGGTCAACTTTCCACAGGAAACGCCACCGTCACGTTCCATCCTGACTTCCTCGCCAACACTTTGGGTGGAGCTTCCTGGTCACCTGGCCTGCGTTTCGTCTCAGGCAAGGGTCCATGCATGCTGAAGAATCGTACATACTACCAGCTCGATCCGAAGAATGAGCCTTACCTGCCCAAGGCGCCTGGCGACCACGGTGCAAAGCTCACTGCCTTCTTCAACAAGGCCCCAGAAGAAGAATACGGCGATCTACTTGACGAAGACTCCAACTCGTACGAGGATGTGCCCATGTTCGTTCTCGTCGGAAAGCGCTATATGTACTACGGCAATTATTCGCAGACACGCTGGTCGGATAAGCTGGACTATGACACCATGACGGCTAGAGTACCTCAATACGTCAAGGAATACTGGGCTGAAGAGCTCACCTCATCGACGCGCGAGAAGTGGGTTACCGAAGAACTCAAGAAGCATTTCTTTCGCAAGCCGGAGTACAGCGGCCGTCTCTTCGCTGCACCGGATCACGAAACCACTGTTGACTCTGAGGAGGAGGTTGTGCTCACAAAGCAACTGACCAAAGACGTGCGCAAGTACGTTGAAGAGCTCCGTGAGTGGGAGCGTGAGGCCAACATGAAGACCGCTATGATCAAGAAGCAGTCTATCCTTGAGGCGTTTGACGCGGTAAGTCATGTTGAATTGTATGAGTAGTTCAAAGCTAATCGATTACAGTCTGATATGGATGAGGCGCCTGCACTTCGCCTGTGGTGGGAGTACCTTGAGTGCGTTGACTGGAGGAAGGACTTCTACGAGCTCCTTGTCACGCTCCAAGAGCGCAACGCCAATTGCTACTTACAGTAGTTCGATCTGGCGCATGCCTGGTTCAAAAGACGAGGTGACTGTCTATGGGAAATGAGCACCTGGTTGGAAATTTACGATCTGCAGCAGCTCCGAGTCTGGCTGATGATATCACACATCTCTTCGGCATCTTGCGAAAAAGTATTTGTGGTGCCGTGCATCTACTGGCTACTGAGGAAGTGGGAAAGGCAGGGTCTGCGTACCTCTCGGCTTGAGCTCTCGTGCCCTTTGTCGTTCTGGTTTTTGTCTTGCAATTTTGGCTATTGAGCACATATGAGGGGCTCGGAACACACTATTACGGGTGAAGGAACTAGGTATTGCATAAAAGTGTTCTCTCTATTATCAATTCCTTCTCGCACATTGGTTCACGACTCTGTTAATACATGGACAGCGACTGACAGTCCAGCTTCAGCACACCCGGGGCAACAGCTGCGATACATCTAGGCGCTTGCCATGTGCTTGAGCAATTCTTTCCGGACCTGGCGCTCGGATCAGATTTCATCTATTCATCCTGACTTTATGTTCAGTATAGCGTCCCGCGAGACGTGAATGCTTATCTGACGGTGGGCATCCATGCATCACGCTATTGAACACTCTATCGTCTTGTCAGGCGACCAGATTAGCTCCACAATCCTTCCATCACTCCAATCTGGCCTTTCGTCTGCTTCTACCAGCGAAGAAGACGACATATGCTGTTACGAAATCATGCCCACTGTTCACAGTTCCTGTTGCGCCAAACGAGCAGGTCCAGCCTGGAGCTGACACGCTATACATATGGCTAAGGCCCTCGACCAGGTTTTCGTTCGGCTCAGCGTATTCGATGGGTCTATATTGACCGGGCGCTCCGTACATCTCACGATTCATTTGAATGACCACACATAGCAGACCCCACCGTGACGTAGTGTGTTCTGACTACCCATGCATAAGCGAGATATGGTCTTCTCTCCAGCCAGCGGCTCTTCAAATCAGTACCGTATACTAATACTTTCACACTCAGGTCTTTGCTACACTTTGCGCGTGCAGCCCATTTTCACAACCCTTGTGATGCTGTCGCTAACGAACCCGATGAGATACTCAAGCTCTGAGCTTCATATCTTATGGTCGAACAAGCAGCGGCCATGTGTGATCAAGATCATCCTAAATTATAGATGACCCACACCTCATATACAAGCATTCAAGTCATGGGCACACGCTACCGATTTCCCCGCGAAATGTGACCTCCGGCTATTTACACCCCTGCGCACTTCATCTATGCATTCCCCCAACGGCTGTCTGCTCCGTTAAGACTACCACAAAAGTCGAACGTGCTTTTTCGCACCATTGGCCCATTGATCGGATTATGCAGTATCCCTCAGATCTGGCCCGGTCGCACAAACTCCTCTAGAGGTCGAGATGCCATGCGGCTGTGACGGACCAAGCATATGGACTAGTATCACACATCAATCTATGGTACGCGTGGGAATTTGCCTCTATGAGGCAACACAATACCCGGTTTCCTCACGCGATACGCGCTGGTGTGGCTTACGGGGCAAACGGAAAGTATATGAGAGGGTGCACTCTCTGCTTGTACCACCGCCCATCTTTGCGCATCGACTTGCTATCTAATATCGGTCCCTCTAGTTTGCTCTACAACATCATAATGAAGTTCTACACGGCGTTGACGGCGGTTGCTTCCTTGGTTGCAACTGCGACCGCTCATGGAGGAGTCGATCAGTATATTGTAGGAGACACAACCTACCAAGGGTACATCACCTTCTCACACGCACTCTTCCCATGTACTGACAATTCCAAGATGGTCACCGTACAACTCAGCTTCAGGTCAAAAGTCCATTCAGCGACAGTACTCGACCTACGACCCCATGTACATCAAAGATCTCTCAGTACGACCCTACAAAAGCGTACATCAACCAAAAGCTCACTTACTCTAGACAGTCAACATCCGCTGCAACAATAACGGCGCTCTCGGTACAGGCATGACTGGCACCATTGCCGCTGGTGCCAAATTGAAGACACACTGGAAGCAATGGACTCACAGGCCGACTTCTCTTCTTGTATACATGGCCAAATGTCCGGGATCTTGTGACAGCTTCGATGGAGCTGGTAAAGTGTGGTGTAAGTACGCATCCCTCGAGTGGACTGCATCTCTAACAGGACCGTGATGTAGTTAAGATATATGAGCAAGGCCTCATATCAGGTACAGAAAACTCCGGCATCTGGGTAAAATCTTCCATGTACGAACTGCGTGTGAGACATACACTGACTTCGTACACCGTTATTTTAGGCAGGTGATGCCATCCTCGACACTCTTTATGCCACAATCACTATCCCGGCTACACTTGCAGCAGGTGACTACTTGATCCGTCATGAGCTCATCGCTGTGCATCAGGCGAACAACCCGCAATGTGAGCCAGTTCTCCACATTGCCATATCGATGCTCAAGCTGATACTCTGTAGTCTATCCCGAGTGCGCTCAATTCACCGTGACAGGATCGGGAACAGCCTCTCCTCCTGCGTCAGCGCTCGTTTCTTTCCCAGGCGCCTATACTGGAACAGAGCCCGGTATCGCTTTCAACATTGACTCCCCTGAAGCCAAGCAAGCAACCACTTATCCTGTCCCTGGCCCTGCTGTTTGGGATGGAAGCAGTTCTGCGCCCGCGCCGTCTGCTGCACCCACTGCTGCACCGATTGCCACAGCCTCACCCACTACCATGATGACCAGCGCATCTGCTACGCCCACAGTGCCGGCTGCGCCCATATGCGAAGTAGCGAAGTATGGGCAGTGTGGCGGGAAAACCTATAGTGGATGTACAGGCTGTGCGAGTGGGTCGACGTGCAAAGCCAACGGCGATTACTACAGTCAGTGTGTTTAGACTCAGATAGCGCGTTACGGTCACGTCAAATAGTGGTTGATGCCTCAGCAGAAATACAGCAGACCTCGGGAATAAGTGATTTCGGTTTTGGCCAGCATGACATCATTAGTGACAATCTAACCCGAAGGGGTATACCAGTCACAATCTTGGCAGGGGTTCGTCCCCCTTCCAGATTATGGTTCTCTGATCGTTCAACTCACATCATCCATGTTAAATCCGTTTTCAATACTTCAGAATTTGCTCGTTGATTCAGTCGGATGTCTAGCTACCCAGCGCCAAGACCTTCGCCAGGACATCATCGTCGCTTAATCCGTCTCCCTTGATAGTTGCATATGCCGGCGCAAGCACAGCCTTCTCGATCTCTGTGTATTTTCCGTCGCAGGCAAAGATGAGGTCTCCGTGACGAGACTTGTCTACCATCAAGTAGGCCGCTGCTCGGGCAACGACTGAAGTAGGCTGGCAGTTGTACGAAACCGCATCTAGCAAGCCTTTCAAATCGGGCAAGACCTGAGTTGCCGTCCATGAAGGGGCGAGAGTGTTGACGCGAATAGGCAGACCGGCAGCCTTCACCAACAGCGCGAAACTCCTACCAAAGCCTAGAACACCCGCTTTGGCCGTCGCTGAGTCGTGCTGTTAGTCGGAGATTCAAACGTGATCGACGAACTGTTACTCACAATAATCAACTGCTCGGACGGGATGCAAGCCGGTGCTGGACCCCATGATGACAATGGACCCCCCCTCGGCCTGGCCCTTCAGATAATGGGTAGCGAGTGTCACGGTCCTGACAACACTGTCCAGATTGATGTCCAAGGTGTCATCATTTGGTTCCTTGGGGTCACCGTTCTCATCGACTTCGAGAGCCAAGTAATTTGCGCGTGGCCCAATTCCAGCATTCGCAAATACAAAGTCAACACGACCGTGCTTTTCTTTCGCGGCCTTGAATAGTTTCGTTAGATCGCTCCAGCGCCTGACGTCGATTTGGACAAAGTGACAGTCAGCCACAGACGCCGGTGGTGCCTGAATATCACCAGTCACAACTAGTGCGCCTAGAGAGAGCAGTAGCTCTGCTGTGGCGAGGCCAATACCAGACGACCCACCTACGGCATTGTCAGTGTTCTGGAACCTGAAAGTTGATTGGGCCGAATCAAGGTACCTGTTATGACGGCGACTTTGCCCTGAAATCCCGTCAGGTCAGAGTCTTGGATTTGGAACGATGCCATGGCGGAGCTAGGTATGGTGAGAGTAAACAGATGGAAGTTTCAGCAAAATACAGAAAGGAAGAGGATAATATGCAGACATAATCGGGGCCCTTGCGCATCAGCTCGAGCTCATGCAAGAGCGCACTGATTTGGAACAGTCATGGGCTGGCATTGTGAGGCTACCCGTGTTCTGGGCCCAGAAACATCATCTCAAACGAAATCTGAGAAGCTGCCGGAGATTTACAAGGAACACAGCGAGCTCGGGAGGGACTTCGTACGGGGCCCGTTTTTTTCACCGCAGGGAAGGATTCCGCTCGTAGCAAGCCAACCGCGACCTTGAAGCTGCTCAATCAACATCGAAACACACTCGCGCGACTACGCATCTATCAGCCAAGATACGAGGCGTGATGGTAATCGCCTGAACCAGATGACCACCCAACTTTACTGCCGTCTTGGGACGAACATTTTCTAATCAGGCAGTCTGAGCGTGGCGCCGGCCAGTGTTGGAACCGAGCCCATGGGCGGACCAGCTGTAAGACCCACTTAAGCTAGCAACGGCCCGACAGGGGAAGAAAATCACGACACCTGCCACAGTGCCACCCATGTACCGGTCACTAGGGGTCACCAACGCCTCACGGGTACTCCGACGATTTAGATGGATAGCAAGTCTGGTACGCATAAGGCTTCTTTGATGCGGGTAGCTCCTCTTCACGACGCCGCAGCCCATAGTGGGGCCATGCTACATTGATGCTCGCTTCCACAAAGCAAGGTGTCGGAGAAAACGTAAACGATTCGGACCACGCGGCAGTCCTATACACTAAGCTATTCCCGAGGGCATCCTCCGCGGATAGTTGACACATTAGATCTGATCTAGACGAAGCCCTTTACGTCTAGCGCCCGCGACCTTAGGACGTAACACGAGGCCCTGTTTGCACGGCTCACGATCCACGACATGAGTCGACAGAAAATTGGGGTTCTCCTGTGGTACAGTGGTAGAGATGAAACGTCCAATATATGTCATCCGGCGAGCTGCCACCGGTCTCATGTTCGTCATCTGCTTGCTACATTTCTCGGTCTCTGATACGTTTGTCAACATTGCGCAAGGAACATGACGACTGTCGAAGTGGCCAGAGATGGAGTGGCGTTGTTGTACTGCGCAATCATATTGCTCGTGTTGAGTTGGATCGTCTTCTCCATGAGAGTCGGGGTACGGATGTGGAGGAAAGCGTGGGGCATGGATGACTACTTCATGCTCGTCGGAACTGTAAGTACCCAGCACCATCAGCATGGGATAAGCCAACTGATAGTTCGCTGCAGATTCTCTTCTCAGTGACAGCTGCTCTTTGCATCGTCTGTTGTCACTATGGCTCTGGACAGTTCGCACGAGAGCTGCCCACGGTGACAATATCCAAAGGAACAAAGGTACATACTCCCTATCTACGAAATGCTATAGACTCCATACTCACTGTGTTCAGCTCTTCTACATCGCAGAGTACTTCTACGCAGTCAGCGCCATGTTCGTCAAGATCAGTGTTGCAGTAGCGCTTCTGCGCATCGCTGTTGGTCGTCGCTTCTTCACGTGGGCTTTATGGGCGCTGATTGGTGCTACCATGGTTGCTGCTTTAGTCTTCTGCATAGGAATTGCAAACATCTGTGAGTTGACTTGTTCTACAAGTAGGAAATATCGTCGCTAACGTTTTGCCGGCCATCCGATCAACACGCTATGGGGTGAATCTAATGGCACCTGCAACCTTCAACTCAATACCAACGTCAGTCTGTTCTACTCGGCCATCGAGATCACTGCAGACTTTAGTCTCTCGATCATGCCGGCTATTCTGCTTTGGAATGTCCAGATGAAGGGAGCTGTGAAAGCTTCAGTTGCTGTCATGCTTGCGCTCGCTTCTTTGTAAGGCCTTGACGATCCCCCATGCTATGGTATCAAGAACTAATCCTGACTCAGTGCCTCATGTGCTACCATCGTCCGCCTCAAGTACCTCACACTCTACAGTGACCCTGGCGAGTTCATGTACAGTACGGGCAAAATCGGCTTCTGGTCCTTGACCGAAGTCGGCATTGGCCTCATCGCCGGTTCGCTACCTCCTCTTCGCCCTCTCCTATCCCTGCGCATTAGGGTATCCGCCGGCTCCAATACTCCTGCTGCATCTGGCGGACAAGCATACCAATCTGGAATAAACAATCGGCAGCCCACCTCGCGCTCCCGCGTGATAGCCATGGACACGTTCCAGACCTTGGGCGACAACGACGAGGCCGATAATAGTGATGGAGACTCTCAGAAGAATATCATAAAGGAGACGAAGTTCACAGTAACTTCGGTCATTGCTGGAGGTCCTCGAGACCCGGGGCCTATGGCTTGGGATCGTAAGGAGGGAAGCAACGTCTGAGACTGCTTGCTTATGATGAGAACATAGTAAAATGAGCACGAGTCTTAGGTAGTGATAGCGAACGCGGTAGACTCATGATATACCTAGGTACTTTGTACACTTATCAGAGCCGGCGTGGAAAAGTGCAGGATAGACGTGTGACGGCTGCGGAGAAGGTTCATATCTGAACCACCGGCTAGACCAGAGATATCTCGGTGTCTTCCAAGCTCATGGGTTGTGTTGATCGTACGTTCTACGTTCGAACGGGAACCGTAGACCTATGTAGTCCGCCCAGATAGTGCACCTCGGCGTAGTTGCTATGTGTGGTTGTGTATTTGCCGCTGGCTCGATAGAGGCATCAGTATTATCCTAGCAACAGGAAAGTTCTGCTCAAACAACAGCTGCAGGCCGGTTACTAGACAATATCTCAGGCGTGTGGGGCGTGTAGATAATTTGTCGTTGAGTAAGAAGTCTTGGCAGACGGTCTCTTGTATTACCTAAAGAAGTTAGTAGAAGCGAAGTGAGTGAGTTGTTGGCCGTCGCAAATGATCGTGAAGGTCATAAGAACGCGTGTAGGGCGTCTAGTTTCGGCGATAAGCGTGCTAGCTACGTCAGGCCGCCTCAACCCGAACCCCACCACTTTGACCTACACGGCAGTCGAAAGCAGCAGCACAATCCCCACGATACATAATGAAGGTCGCCACGGTATCCAGACGCTGCTTGTCAGCTCCACGCAACCTCGTACCCACTCTTCCGCGACACGCCCCAAACCCTCGACGACCGTTCTCTACTACACGACCAGCGTCCTCCGAGATGGATACAGCAGCATTTGGCGAACAGCACATTGCAAAGGGCATTGGCCGCCTCACCAAGCATGTCTTTGAAGACGGAAAGGGCACATTCATCACCACGGACAAGGGCGTCAAGCTGCTTGACATGACGGCCGGCATTGGTGTTGTGAACCTTGGTCACTGCCACCCCAAAGTCAGCGCTGCCGCAGCGGCACAATGCAACAAGATCACACACGCCCAAGTCAACATTGGCTTCAGCTCCGCACAGATCGCTCTTCTCAAAGAGCTGATTCCGATACTTCCCCACGAATCGCTCGATACCGTCTTCTTCTGGAACTCGGGTGCAGAGGCCGTTGAAGCAGCCGTCAAACTTGCCCGTGCCGCGACGAAGAAGCCGAACATCATCGTCATGCAGGGCTCATACCACGGCCGCACGAACGCGACAGCCTCGATGACGCGATCCAAGACTATTTACGGCGAAGGCCATGGACCTCTGATGGGTGGCGTCTTTGCGTCCGCATTTCCGTACTACAGCCAGTTCGGCATGTCTCCAGACACACCGAAGGAGCAGCTCGTGAGCCAGGCACTGCTCCAATTGAAGCTTACCTTGCAGCAGCAGACGTCTCCCGCAGATACTGCAGCAGTCATTCTGGAGCCCGTTCTTGGTGAGGGAGGTTATGTCCCAGCACCACCCGAGTTCCTACACGGCGTCAGGCAGATTTGCGATGAGCACAACGTCCTTTTTATCGCTGACGAGGTCCAATCTGGTATGGGCCGCACGGGACACATGTGGTTTGTGCAGGAGTCTGGTGTACGACCAGACATTCTCATCTTCGCAAAGGGCATTGCGAACGGGTTCCCTCTATCCGGTATTGCGAGCAGTAAGAAGCTCATGGATCTCCAAAAACCAGGATCCATGGGTGGCACATATGCGGGTAACGCAGTCGCATGCGCCGCCGCAACAGCCACAGTCAAAGCATTCCACGAGGAGAAGATCCTGGACAATGTCGCCGCGCGCTCCAAGCAGATCTTCTCCTTCCTCCGTGATCTCAAAGCTTCTGGCACCAAGGCCGGTAACTTGATCGAAGATGTTCGCGGATCGGGTCTCATGGTCGGTGTCCAGTTTGCAAACCCAGAACTACAACGCGACTCATCGAATACTGCTGCACAACATGCTCAGAGCCAGCCACAAATTGCGCCCAAAATTGTGCAGGAATGCGTCAAGCGAGACATGCTTCTCCTCAGCACTTCGGTGTTCGACGTACTGAGATTCATTCCGCCACTCACAATCAGCGAGGAGGAGCTGAGCCAGGCTTGTAACATCTTCAAGGAGTCCCTGGAGGCTGTCGCGAAGGAAATGTAAATGTCTTGGGCTTGTTGATATGATGCACGCCATGTTGGGAAGTTAAGATCGATTTTTTCTAGCAGATATATACCCTTTTTCGCGCTTTGATGTGCGGCCAGTCACAGAACAGTCACTCAGTTATTGATGCATCCTTTGCTTGAACGATGCGACGGAGCTGCGACCGGATAGAAGTTGGGCAGATCGATCCCGTAAGCCGCCTCGCGTTCGCTGTTCGGAAGGCCGAACACCAATCAGCGGCGTTCGTCTCAGCTGCTGCCAGAAGCGAGCGAACAACCCGCCGACTCGCAAGGGTCGCGGTGCGCAACACCATGTGTACGAGCAATACTAAGCAGAGCTGGATTTCGCATATGTCAATAGACATAGCAGAACAATTTGTTCATAAAAGATGCAAGAATCACTCAACTCTCAATCGAACACAGTCGCAACCTTCTTCCCTTTCTCCTGTTCATACTAAATAATATCCGATTAGCCCTCAATGGCTCTCAGAGCAGTCCTCATCACAGGTGCGACTGGTAAACAAGGTGGTTCAGTCGTTGATGCCCTGCTCAAATCGGACGCACCATACGAAATCCTAGCAGTCACCCGGGACGCCCAGTCGTCATCCTCCCAGAAGCTCGAAAAGAAGTCGTCGAGGATCAAACTCGTCACTGGAAATCTCGATGCAGCCGACGAGATGTTCAAGGCAGCGAGAAAGTCCACCAAGATGCCCATTTGGGGAGTCTTTAGTGTTCAGGTGAGCATGTTTCCTGCAACGATAGTCAAGCTTTGCTGAACCCTCGTACAGGCGCTCGGAAAGAATGAGGAGAAGCAAGGAAAGGACCTTGTAAATGCATCTATCAAGAACGGTGTATCGCACTTCGTCTTCTCTTCCGCGGATCGAGGCGGTGCAAAATCAGACTCGGATCCGACAACCGTCCCCCACTTCATCACGAAACATAATATCGAGCAACACCTCTTCTCCGAATCCAGGAAAGGCAACATGACATATACCGTACTACGACCCGTAGCATTTTACGAGAATCTGACTCCAGATTTCTTCGGCAAGGTGTTTACAACGAGTTGGGCGATCAAGCTGCCAAAGGAGAAACCTCTACAACTTATCAGTACTAGTGACATTGGGTTCTTCGCCGCCCAAGCGTTCCTCAAGCACGATACTTCGGTATACCAAAACAAGGGTATGTCGCTAGCAGGGGACACACTTTCGTTTGAACGATTCAAGGAGACTTTTGGAAAGAGCACGGGTGAAAAGCTTCCGATGACGTACCGGTCTGTCGCGGGGGCGCTGTGCTGGATGTCGAAAGAGCTTGGGTACATGTTCGATTGGTTTCGCGAGAAGGGGTTCGGTGCAGATATTGAGGAGTGCAAGAGGATGCATCCGGAGATGAAGGAGTTTGAGACTTGGCTCAAGACGGAGAGCTCGTGGAAGAAAGGCTAAAGAGCAATGGACGTAGACGTGGGATGGCAAACTTGACTTATCCAAACACATAATATGTTCCTAGTATGAATTGTAGTACATTTCGATCACTCGTAAACATCATCGAAACTCCTCCGATAGCAAGAGTAGGGAGCAACACATACTACTCGGTCGACCTTCGTTTCACTTCAAAGTCTCGACGCTTCTCGTCCAGCTAACTCCATTCCTTCCTCACCGTCAACAAGTACGCACCATCCTTCTCCTCCCCTGCCGCCATTGCCGCCAATTGCCGCCTTGAAGTTAGCTTTCGCGTACTCTATAACTTCGGCATCGAAACTTCCAGGCTGGAGCCATACAGCAGGAATTCCAGCCTCCTTCGCCTCTTTGAGCAATTGCTTCGTCACTGTAGGTGGCGTAATGACCGACAGAGAATAGCTGGATGCTGGTGGGTCCTGAAGAGCTGTCGGCGACGGCACGGTTGTGTGGGCACGGTTCAAGATGGTAACACTCGGGCTTCGCGGGTTCAAAGGCGTTGCGGGGAGGGAGTGCTGGAGATACCAAGCGAATACTGTGATATCGTGTTAGAGATGATAAGATCCAGGTAACACTGGGAGAGGACATTCTAGCGTACTCTTATGTCCGTATTTGTGTGGGTCGGAAGACGCGCCAGCGACAGCAAAGCGTGGGCTTGAGAAGAAAACTTTCAGGGCAGCCTCCATTTCTGCGTCGCGCTTTTGACCTCGCGTGGTCGGCATCTGAACGTTCTATATATCGGACGGTATGCGTTTTACTTATGAAGAGTTGCATTGTCCTGGTGAAAGGTACTAGGCTAGGTGGTGCCTTATCGATAACGTTCTATAGCCGAGGCACGCGTCACGTCATCTTCTGCACTTGCATTGGTGGCATCATCGGTACGCGCGCCGTTTTGCTCCTGCGTTTTTCAGCATGCTCACACCATGAGATTACGTGGTACTCTCTGACAATGCGCGTCAGTTCTGGGTTTGCATTGTTCCTACGTCTATCGAATTGATAAGGACACTAACATATTCCAGCGGCAAAGCGATGTGAAAGCTCCAAGGAGACGCGCGGGATCTCGACACTCATCAAAGACTCGTGGATTGAGTCATTTCTCTGCCACTCCGCCTTTCTTTCCCCTCTTGGACCTGCAACATTGAGACCCTCACTCCACTCTTCGACGCTTCCTTCGCTTCTTTGCTCCTCCATACCTTGTTCCTCGTCCTGAAATTCCTTGGCTTGCTCTGCTTCCTTCACCATCTCGGCCGCTGCGGGAGCTCGGAGCACAGGGTGTTCCTTGTTGGATATATCGATTACTGCCAGCAGATCTCCCTTTCGCGTTCGCGGATAATCATCGCATGCGCCCTGCCACTGTCCGGCTCCGACAGCCTCGTGTGCAAGCCGCTGCAGCTGCAGTGTATCGTTTGTGACCCACTCGATACTGGAAAATGGCTTCTTCCGCTGCAAACGCGCAGTTACAGACGGCAGACAGGCAGCGATAAGCATAATTAGGCCTCCGATGGAAAACATTAATATAAGGCCGAGCACGTTGAACGAAGTATAGGAGTCACTTCGGATCTTCTGACTACCACAGAGCGCTCGTGCTTCCGGAGACGTGGGCGCTGAAAAGAATGGCACAGCCTCTGGGACAACTGGACCGGTCGCTTGGTCGAGTATGGCTCGTTGTAAGTCGGCCATCGTGAATTTGAACCAATGCTCCAGTTCCAGCTCCCACTGATTGTCTGGTAAACCACCCTGCCCACTATCTGAGACATAATCACTCGCGAGAAGCGATCCGCCCTTGAGCTGTTTGACGAGTTCATGGAAGCCACCTGCCATATCTCTGATGGCGCGTAAGGACCAAAGGAATCTCTCAGAATCTTTGGGCTGTGGAAAGAGTGTTGAGGAGGCTATTCTTGTGGCCTCAAATATACCATTCAGCGGCGTACAGTTTTCGACTTCTTCTAAGGATGGCCGGCAAAACTGGTATTGCTGAACACATGCTAGTGCTCTGATTGGCAGCTCGGTAGCATAAGAAGTCTGGTTCCCAAACTTCTTACCGCGGTTGACCACCTTGTCCAGAGCTTCAAACCATAAGTCGGTGACGGGTTCGAGATACCTGATATCCTTCATCTGAAGGAAGTACACACCGAGGTCTGCGTCAGGAACTTCCAGTTCCTGGATTGGCCGCCAGGCATCGTTTGAAAAGACTTCGTCGTTGTTGATAACGTTGTAGCGTGTGACGGCACTTGTACGCATGCTTAGTTGTAGAAGTATTTGATCGACGAGAAGGACTTACGAAACCGAGTACTCGCTTCCCAAAGGTCCTCGATGAGTGTTCGCATCAGCAAATTGAAGAGTGCATTCAAGGTCGTTGCTTTCACAGAAACCTTCATTATAGTATCCATACAGGAACTGAACACTCCAATGGGGTTGCGTTGAATTTCTGTATGTGTACCCCTCGCTGCGTATTGGGGCACATTCGTTAACGGTTCGATAGAGAAATCTTGAGGAAGGCGGCGAATTGATACCCAGATCAGAGTGACTATCCAGGAACCCGGAATCCAAACGGAGGGCAGCTGTCGGAGAATGACATATCTTGTTCTTGCCCGGGAAGGGGCAGGAAATGCCAGTCGTGACCGTCACAGGGAGAGTATCTCGGACGAATTTGCGGCAGCTATCTGCTGACCCAGACTTCCTATAGCAAACTGACTCGTAGTTGGCGCTTGCTCTGGTCCTACTGGCAATATACGATTGAGCTACGCGGTAGTTCTGTTCGGTGAACAGGGAACTGTTCAACGTAGCGCACCTGTCACCAACGAGAAGAACCTCGCCACCCCTCGTAGTGGCTACTCGCGAAGAGAACACTCCGGCTGTGCTGAAAGCGCAAAAGGTCGCTAAGCTGAGGACTAGTGGTAATGACACCGATCTGAGTAACGCGGGCGGAACCACCACCTTCCTCCAGGCCCAAGACATCCTTGATAGTCTCCATAAAGCCGCTGTACTGGTCTCTGAGTTGCGAAGTATTGCTTGCTTTTGGTGGTACAATGCGCTTTGGGGTATTTTGCGGCTCATGTTTTGATGGATGGCGAACGAGACGATGGTCCAGAAACAGGTTCCAGTAAAAGTAGTGAACAGCGCGAGGAAAGCGATGAGTAAACCGCCATTTTGAAGAGTCGTCGTGAGTGTGAGGCCGGCGATCGAGCCATGCGACCAATTCGTCCAGACTCCAAGGTAAACTGACTCGTGTTCTGATGCCATGGTATCTAGGTTACGTTTTAGGGGGACGAATATTATCTTGGAGACGTGCAATAGATATAAAGGGCCTTGTTAACGATTGGAAGTAGGTTATTGATAATAGTATACAGTCTTTTTGTGGATGGTAGGTGTCTAGCTATCGAAGCAGATTGTAAAGAGTTGTGCATCGCCAGAACACGATGAAGTACGCCAGACGGCTCATAACTCTGCTACCTGCTGTCTCTTCTATATTTAACGGACGATATAGCGTCTGATAGAGCGGTTGCGCGAACATACTTGTCGTTGAGATGCTTCCACGGTGTAGAACGAACCATTGGAAAGGTAGAAGCGACTTGCAGCGAGGCGCAGTTTGTTGCGATGACAGCATTAGCTGTATTAGGTAGTAGGCCAGAGCTAAGATCATAGGTTTGTGCTCTTCGAAGTGGGGGCGGGGAACGCGGAGAGATAAGAGGACGAAGGCACAAGGCTGATCAGCGAAAGTCTCACTGATTTTCCCACGCGAAGATACAGACGTCAACTGTATGGGCAACATATTCCACATTACCTGCGATTTAATGCAGTGGTAAATCTTGGGAGATCTTTTCACCGCACATTTACATCGAGTTTCAGCTCATGAGGGTCAAAGGCCTTGGACGCCCTGGCAATGGTGCCTGCGGATGGGTCAGCCTTTCCTGGATACACAGCATCATGCATATTATTATAAGCTATGCTGTAACACGAAGACGGAGGAGGAGTCGACACATGCACGAAAGGTCGATTTAAAATAGCCCCAGAGAATGAAAGGGTGGTCCCATGAAAACAATACTGGCATAGGAACCGTCTTCATTTGGGGGCTGAAAATTAGCAAACCATGGACTGATACCGAGAATAGTAGATCTGCGAATGTTGTGCGACAGCCGACGGCCTATCATACCGCAGATAGCGCAGCTACCAAGGCTGCACACCATCCTTGTTGATAACTTTGCCGCTATCCTCGTCTCTCTTCCCTTCCACAACATCCTTGATGAACACGCCCCCAATACTTGGGTCGCCCGCACCCCATTTCTTCAACATTTCCGGCCCCATGCCTCCCAATCCCGTAGCCAGAAATCCGGGGCTGATGCCAAAGACTTTGACTCCATCGACGCTAAGACTTTGTGTCCAGTCTAGCATCATCATGTTCATCCCAGCCTTACTCGAGCGATAAGCTGTTTGGGCCATGGATGGTGGCTTGGGCCAACCCTTTGGCGGCGGTGCGTTCATGAGCTTGGAATTGAAGCTACTGGAAGAGGTTTCGAGGGAAGACAGACCAGAAGTCACGAAGAGGAGCCTAGGGTGTTTGGAGGCTATCAATAGGGGCGCGAAAATATGGGTCACTACTTGGGTGGAAGTGACGTTAAGGGAGTAACTTCTGTCCCAAGCTGCGCGAATGCCTGTGGGGCTAGGATCCTTGCGCATAATGGCATCAAAAGACCCGCCTATCACACATCAGTCTGCTGCATTAGAGCGAGAGAGAGAAAACAGCACATACCGGCATTGTTGACCAGCGAATCAATGTGACCATACTTGCTCTTGATGTTCTTGAATGCGTTTTCGATCGACGCATCGTCCTCAATGTCGATTTGGATGGGGACGACATCTGACTTGGACTCCAAGACTTCATCCTTGAGCTTAGAGATGGCATCGTTTGCTTTTTCGAGAGAGCGACTACCCATCAGGATAGTGTGCGGTTGTGGTGAAGCGTACAGAGCCTTTACGGTCTCGTACCCAATGCCGGTGTTGCCGCCCGTGATGAGAACGATTGAAGAGTCTGCCATTTTGGTTCAGACGTTGTGATGCTGGCCTGGCTTTCGACACGAGCAGATAGATTCTCTGGAAAGTGTTATGGATGATAAGTTGGCTTGTCGGCTTTGTCCCCTCTTTATACCTACATAGGTAGGCACCTGAAGAATCTCGTGGGCGGCTTCCTCGCCCGGAGTTAGGAATGCGTCACCCGGAGTTAAAGTCCCCCGCATCGCGCACACTCATACCACAGGTGAGCTTGATACCTGTATTGAGAAAGCTATCGATACGTAAACCATCACTAGTAGATATGGATAAGTCGATCGCACGGTGAGGTGATGACGTTGCTGCCGACATGGATGTTGCACAGCTGGCAATCCGTGATCCCGGAGTTAGCCCACTGTCCATAGCGCTCCATTTGAGCAGCGCATTAAACCAACTATCCACTGACAAACCAATATCGGAACGGTCTGTATCAAGAGTACACTGAGGGCCATTGATTCTTTTTCTACATTACTGCCTGCGATGAAAACATCTCATGTTGGAAAGAGCTTCCCAATGACTATACCCTGAACGACAATTTACATCGCGCGCGCGCGCGTAGAAGGCACCTGGCACAGGAACAGAACATCAAACTTCCGCAGGTACAGCCTAAACACATGTACGACAAAAAGATGACAGCAATCCAGCTGCTCATCTTCCGACTATCTAAATAGGCTCATCCACTTTGACGACTTCCGTCGTTGCTGAAATTGCTGATAAAAACGACCAGGACGGCGCAGTATGCGGCACTGGCCGCAAAAAGCTCATGTCGCTTCGCTTTTGTGAGCAAGCTCATGGCAGCAGAGAAAAGCAATGTGAACACAACCAGAATCCCAACGGCATCGAAGGTGGAGTTACGATCACCCACCGATGTCAGCTTGTACATGGCGACAACCGGGAGTACCAGGAGGATAAAGATGATGAGTGTGATGATCAATCCAACGAGCTTTTCAATCCGAGACTGCGAATAGTAGTAGAGACATTTATCATCTGTCTTCTCGCGGAGCTCCTTGGTGGCGAACAGTTTCTTGATGATAGGTCAGTCACAATGAGCAAAGATGTCGTAAAGAGCTGATATTACCTGAGTGAGGGGTCCATGCATCTTACGTATGCACGTCTCAATCAGTCCGTCGAACCCGGACCACTCCCGGCCATGACGCAGCGAGACCAGGTCCTCACGACGCTTGGTGAAGTCTTCTTCAGGCTCATAGTTCAGCGGCTTAACGTTCCAGAACCAAGTCCGAAAGCTATGGTAGTCCCGGTTTGATGGTCGTTGGAAGGCGTTGAGATCACGGGCTTTGGCGAGTGTATCGTCTGGGAGAAAGTCAGGTCGCCACATCAATGCAGAGTAGTTAGTGGAGAGATTACATACCATACGTGACAAGCTTGTGCTGTATAGTACTTATGAGACCCTCCCGTACACTTTGCGTCTCTTCCCTCCTGGCTTGCTGAAGGTCGTCTTTTCGAGACATCAGACGAGCTCCATCTCCATTCTCTAAGTCCATTTCATCGAGATCTGTCAGTTTCTTCTCTAAACACCGAAGTTCATCTTGGAGTTGAAGTATCACACGGGCATGCAGGTAATTGAAGCCACGATATATCGACCAACTAGATTCGCTCGATTGGAATGCCGCCTGCAGAGGATACCCACGCGAGTACATTTTCACTTCGAGATGATTAGTAAAACTATAACACTCCCTAGTCAATATGCGTGAAAGCGTACGAGGTATGGTTTTAGTGCTGCGTATCTCTTTCTCCACCTCCGCTGGTGAAAGTTCGGATCCTTTTGGTGTCAGCGCAGCCATCCACATGATAGGGTGAGTTCCTTACCATGAGGCCTTTCTGCGACGATGTCTTGGATTGGTATTGATATATGCCCCGAGGATTGCGAATCGCTGCAAAAGCTCAACTTCTCCGAGCCGCTGCTATCTTGTGAGGCCATGTTCTTCTCGCCAATGTACTTCAATTTCAGTTACGCGGGTATTCACCAAAGATTGATCAGAAGAAAGTTATGGCAGATAGATTGCGGCAGATTCCCGCTTTAATGGGTATGCTTGCTACGGGATGTAAGACAATGGCGCCCTGGAGGGCACACAGCTCGGGGCTAAGGCAGCTAGCCGGAGCACTTGATTACTGTGGCGCATTCTAGGCACTATTAGGCGAAACTGGATAGAACAAATCGTGTCTCATGCCGCATTGAAATCGCCCTCTGAAAGCCAGGTTCCGTGCAGCAGGCCTCTGCTGTCCTTCAACCTGTACTGCCAACGACTGTTGAGAAGATGACGTTCAGCAACGGTAAATGCATCGAATGAGACACGCGTCTTCTCTTTTCCGTTAATCATCACACGTTTTCTAACCTTCATGGTGACTTCATCGCCTACGTCGAAGCCTGCCTCGCGCTGGTGGAGCATGTCAGTAGCGCTCACTATAGATTGAACGAGCGTTGCGTACCATATGGGCATCCGGATCAACGGTTGCCCCGGACTTGTTCTGCTCGCTCTCGGGGATGCCATTCTAAGCACAGGTAGAGAACACCGGTCAGTGTGAAGCAACCTAGTGGTGATGATCATCACACTTTACCTGATCTGTCATGACCGGTCAATCTTCTTAGAATTTATGGCTAGGCTTATTTATGAGTCTGGGATACAGGAGGTCAGGCTGAGTAGCTGTAATTCGGGCGCAGCTGGCCTCTATTTAGCCTTAGGCTTGACCTCAAGGCACAAAGTGAGGAAGGCTGTGCAATGACAAACTCTATTTGAGCGAACTCACCGTTCCCCATATGCCATCTTTAAGCCTCATATCACATGTTGTTCAGCTGAACGATTGTCCGCATGACAGTTTGGTGGGGTCGGTGCGTTGTGGTTGGAAGACATACATTGTGGCGCAAGGGAGCGCCCGCTCAGCTCACAGACAGCCAATAGACGAGCGGACAGTATGATAAGCAGTTCTCAGGCAAACATGCGATGTTGGGGCCGGTAAACGCCAACGTAAGCTGTCCCTAGTTGTTCTAGTTCGTGTTTGCACCGCCGCTGGAGGTCCTTCAGATGGCATCACAGCGACGAACGCAACGATAGGACAACATAAGAAGGCAGCCTCCTGATGGGTAGCCCTACAATCAGTAGTCTGGTGTATCACTTGAGATATGGCAGCACAACGTCACTCAACTGCACAACTTGCGCATACCAAGACCACCGAACCTTGTCAGAGCCCCAAGCCAATCAATCCGTCCCGGCAGAACTCGATCGTGGTACCAGTCACTGTTGACGATCTCACCTTTCTTGACCCGCGTGACGAAGAAGCCAAGAGAGAGCTGAACCTCGAAGCTGAGAGGCGCACATTGTTCCAGAATGTGTCGAATGGTGTACTTCAGATACCCAATGGTTATCGCAAGGTTGAAGTGCTGATAATACGTTGGGATGAGAGTGTCGACGAGTTCAAAGGCCACGAGCAAGAGGTGAGTCTGCGCATCATTCGAAGAAAATTGCCTAATTAAAGCGGCAGATTGGTCTCCTTGAAACGATTTTCACAACTGGCTTCGGGTTCGGATGTACCGTGAGAAGAATTCGGAACAGCCGGAATCCGCAGATCGACCTTAACCACCATATATTGACCCATGTGCACGAACACGACGGCGAAGACAATCTGCTGATTGTGTACTACACGGGCCATGGTGTCCGTATCGAGGATGACAAGGGCTGCAGTCGACTGCAGTTATCTGCGTAGGTAGCCTGAGGAATTCCAGCATTCGGTCATTAACACGTAGCAGGTCACGAAATTGGGATGAGAGCAGTGGCCATGCTTATGCTCCTACAGCATTCTGGGATGAAGCAGAAGCACCTCTCAAGTTACACGCAGCAGCTGATACACTAGCTATCTTAGATTGCTGCTCCGCGAGTACTGCTGCTGTGACCCATAAAGGCAGAAACGAAGAATTGCGAAACTATCAGTTGTTAGCGGCTTCTTCAGCAGACGAGTATACACGTGGGCCAGGACAAGAATCTTTTACTCATGCATTGTGTGAGTCGCTTCGCGAACTCTTATTCGAAGCAAAGGGTGGAACATTTCCAGTCATCAAACTGTGGGAAAGAATCAACACTAAGAGAACAACACAGGCCGCTCTGATGTGGGATCGCTTACAGCGATACAAACGTAATGTGGAGCTTGGACGACTCGATCCAAATCCAGAACGGGACGAGTCTTTTCGCAACGAAGAACCGGAAAAAGCCTCACTTGTTTTGCGCTTCTCGCTCAAAGAAGAGGAGCTCGGCAACTCTCAGGTTGAGATGCTTGCCCGACAATTGCCCGCAGTCTTCAAGGAGGCCGGGGTTCTTGTGCGGCGAATGGAGTACGTGGAGCTTGAGCGACGAGACGATGCAGCGAAGGCTTTCCGCGCCGAACCTGGAAGACGGTATGATCCAGCGAAAGCTTTCCGTAAGGTCGTTCACCAGGTACAGGAAAACATTTCCAGCGACAAGATGGGTCATGGCGAGCATGAGAAACAGTCTGCGACACTTGAGCCAAGGAAGCGCAAAAGCTCGTACTCAGACACGCTTCTGGCAGCTAAGAGAAATGCGAGAGAGAGCTCGCTCACGTCAGAGGAAGCCACCGATTCAGGCTTGTGCACGCCGCCGAAGAGACATACAAAGCCGGGGTCTGAGGCTCATAAGTGCTGAGGGATGTTGAAGGTACTGTGGTTGCATATTTTCATTGCCAGGGCATGATCGAGCCTCAAAGGGCGTCTGGAAGGTGCGCAATCCTTACTCCGAAGAATGTATCTGAATGCGCAATAGATGGAAGTCTGGTACTCTAGATAATGGAATGTCAATGGTTGACGTGTGTACCTGGGCAGCGACTAAGAGGAAAGCGTGACCTCGTGACGGATGATCTACGCGCTTGGCTGAAACAGGACAGCTCCGCCGCTGTCTCCGCATCATCGCGTCAACCCAGCCACCGTGCCGGCTGCCATAGACGTTATCACAGCTCTTGCTACCATCTACACTCCAGCAAACATGAAGTCAACGACGATCTTACTACCTCTGTACACTGCAGCCCTTGCAGCTGCAGTTTCGCATCCCAAGGACCCCCAGGCGGTCCTGCAGGAGCCGCAGCTTACTATCATCGAGCCAGACGAGTATCTTATTGAGCTGTCTCCGGGCGAGACAAGATGGGTTACCGAAGATGAGAAGTGGGAGCTGCGTAAGGTATGACATCCCAGCACCGACAGCAGATAACGTGGAGCCTACCGCTGACACGATGCAGCAAAACATCAACTTCTTCGACATCACGCACAATGAAGAGCTCGGCACGCTCGACCGCCGGTTCAAAGCCGAGAGCGTCAAGTTCCCCGAAAAGCCTGTACACAACGAGACCATCGTTCCTCTGCTCAAGAAGCTGGAGAAGAACAACATGCGCGAGCATCTCGAGACCTTCACCTCTTTCCACACGCGATACTATAAGTCCAAATACGGAGTCGAGAGCTCGGCATGGCTTCTTGGCCAGGTCAACAAGACTCTCGCGGATGCAGGCGCTGTCAAAGCCTCCGTGAAGGCGTTCCCTCACCCATGGGGCCAGTCCTCCATCATCGCCACCATTCCTGGCAAGAGCGACAAGACAATTGTCATCGGCGCTCACCAGGACAGCATCAACCTCTTCTTCCCAGCTCTCCTGGCCGCCCCAGGCGCCGACGACGACGGCAGCGGTACCGTAACTATCCTCGAAGCGCTGCGCGTTCTCCTCAAGTCGGAAGAGATCCTCAAGGGCGAAGCAGACAACACAATTGAGTTCCACTGGTACTCTGCTGAGGAAGGAGGCCTCTTAGGATCGCAGGCCATCTTCCAGTCATACGAGAAGGAGGCTCGCAAGGTCAAGGCTATGCTTCAGCAGGACATGACCGGCTACGTCCAGAAGACGCTGGACGCGGGCGAGCCTGAGTCTGTTGGTGTCATTACTGACTTCGTTGACCCCGGTCTCACCGAGTTCATCAAGAAGATCATCACTGTCTACTGTGGCATTCCGTATGTTCTGACCAAGTGCGGTTACGCTTGCTCAGATCACGCCAGTGCGTCCAAGGCCGGCTACCCGTCAGCCTTCGTCATTGAGTCCGACTTCAAGTACAGCGACAACAAGATACACACAACCGAAGATAAGATTGAATATCTGAGCTTCGACCATATGCTTCAGCACGCGCGTATGACGCTTGCTCTGGCGTACGAACTTGCTTTTGCGAAGTTCGACTAGCGGCCATGAAGTAGGATAAGGTTTACTTCCCGTCGTCGACATGGATATTTCGTAGTTATTGCACGAACAGTCAGCGGTTTTGCAGTCATGAATCAACGTATTGTTAATGATCCTCCAAAACATCGAGCACTCCATGTGGTGTCTATGCATGCGTCTGTCGCTGCATATGTGATTCGGTGTAGGGCGTGCGCGCTAACACAATGCTCTAGTGGTGACCTGTTTACCCTCATCCCGGAGCCGCGTCCGCATGGCTAGCTGAGATTTCCGAACGGACGTTGCTTTCCCACTTTCTGATCTTTCTCGGTCTGGCCAAACACATCCCCAGTTTCTAGATACTATTCACACGTTGTCGTGGTCACTACTTCAGACGAACAAGATGAGTGCATGCAGGTGTAAGCAGAATCGCCAGAAGGAAGATGTATGGCGAACGTACCAACAATTACAAGAGTACGCTCTTCCCTCCACCTTGGCGAGTACATGGATTGATCTACAAATAGGGCTATGCAACAGACAAGTTCCATCAATGACAAGCTTCAAGAATTGAAAAAGGAAAGAATGCGGCTTCTGGTCGAGAAGCGTGCTCTATACGCGAAGTACGTGGAAGAATGCATTGTTTTCGCTCTCAAACGTACAACACACTAACGCATTCTTCCAAGGACGTCGCGAGCCACTGTAAGATCTCACAGTCGAGCTTGGAATATGGCCTTCTGCGATGAGATGCAACGTCTCTTGCCACGTGAGATACGCGAAATGATCTATGAAGAGCTCTGGAGCGCGAGTGGCGGCGCAACCGCTCCTGTGCACAAGTCCTGGAGCCACCTGTGCGACCTTGTAAAGGAAGACTGCTATTGTAAATTCGGAACTTTGGAGGAGTGTATGGGACACAAAGCAGCTCCACACTTCATCAAACAGTCCTACGTTGGGATTGAGACCGCGCGCGAGGCGCTGGAGATGTGGTACAAGATGGTACCTGGAGGATCGAATTACCGCCACCTCTTCGCAACTACGCTTTCTGAGGCAATCCGGCTACTCACTGCAGATGCTTTCAAAGTTGGTCTCAAGCCTACAGCGGTACTGAGAGGACTGATTGTTGAGGTCCCCGTTAAGGACCTTGTTGCTAGCCCGGCCGAAGCGCAGGCCATGGTTGACCAATTACTTCGCATCGTTCATAAACGCGACTTCCACCTTTACATCCGACTGCCCCAGAGAAACATCCGACTCAACCTCTGGACCCCCATTTTTGAACTATTGCGACCCGTATTGACAGCTTTCAAGGAACACAGTCGGAACATACGCGTTCAGTGGTTCTACCAACCAGACAGGACTTCGACTATAAAGTACGACCTCAACCCACATATCCGGGATCCCGGTGCGGAATGGAAGGAATATTTGATAGAAAGTTTTTTCAAACCGCGACAACAGTGCCTCCAGGTCAGACACAGGGACTATCTTGTGGAAGACAATCCGGATTACGACCCTCAACATCACGAAGATACAACCAACAGAATGAACAACTGCTTCGGCAACGATCCAGAGACGGATTCAGAGGACGGATCTGACACTGGCTCAGATGATGGGTCTAATACTGGCCCCGACGAGGAAAGCCCGTATTGTAGTTCGGATGAGTCGTATGATTCAGATTGAGATGTAGAGACGGGGAAAGAGAGCGCGATAGCGGGGCTTGGTTTGGTGCCTAGCACTTTGATTTCATCTATTTTAGAGATGAGGGAACCTTCGTTTCCCTAGGCCACGGGAAAGCCAGAAGCAAAGTACGACCGATTTTAGTCTCATTGTTACTGTAGGACTACTTTGCGGCCATATCCTGAGATATGCCTCAAACAAGCTTACGTTTGATGAGAAGCGCCTGACTGCTGTCCGCCTTGAACATCATCCATCTCTTCACCGTCGCTTCCAGCATTCCCGTCGCTTCCATTATCATCACCCTCATCACTTTCCTCATCATCCTCTTCGTCCTCCTCGTCATCATCATCATAATGGTAGTAGGTGTTGCCAATGTAGCCAATGTGGCCACCGTGCTCGTCATCGTCGTCACTCGAGTAATGGTATCTTGCCCGCCGCAGGTGATCTCCGAGGGCCGTATTACAATCGGGGCACCGACAGACTCCTTCCTCATGCTTCAAAGTCCCTGTTTCCATGTACTCGCGCAGATAATCATGGGGCGGAGGGCCGTCATCTGTGCCAGAGTAATTGAGCGAATCCATGTAGGATTCATGGCGGTCTTCGAGTTCTTTTTGAGTGAGATACGCCTGGCTCTCTGGATTGAAATTTGGGCGATCCTCATCCCGGTACAGACGGTGCTCGTCTGGAATTCTGCGTCGCTGATGCGTGTGGTCAGCTGGATGCGAAGTGCGAAAGTGAAGAAAAACAAACCGCATCAAAGAACGCTACTGCGTTCGCTTTCCATTCCTCCTCGGGCTGTGTCATAGCATCCAAGATGTCGTACGTTGCCACATCGTCACTCCTATTATAACCTCCCTTGTAGATAAAGGTGGCTTTCACGATCGCCCCTTCGTCCTTCATCACTCTCACCGGTTCTCGAAACGTGTCGAAAACCTCTTTCCAGAGGTTGAGCCTGATGTGACTGTGGCAGACTTCAATCTTGAACCGGAATCCCGATTTGTTTTGGATCTTCAAAAGAGGCTCGGTGATGAGTTCCCGGCGATGTTCTGCACTCCTGATATCGCCCCAACCCTCTTTTCCCGGTTCCAATGGCACCCGTGGTGGAACGAAATCGTCCACATTCATGCTGATTTCCAGCTTTCTTATGAACTGGGCTGGTTCGCGTCCAATGTTGAAAGCGTCCTTGCAAATGATCTCCTGTACACCCTTGGCGGTCCACGCGTAGAGTAGCTTGTGGTGCTTGGTCGCTGCAATGTTGTACCATGACTCCACTAGTTCTGTCGCCATCTCTGATCCAACCAGCTCCGGGCGCACAAAGAATGGGAGACATAGATGATATGGACAGTTTAGGTTCTTAGTGTTGAGGCACAGACGGCAGGTGCTGTTGATGGTATTGCGCATGTAAACGAGGCTTTCCTCAACGGTATGTTCGTCCCAGACCTGGGCCCAAATCATGTCCCGAACTTCACGAGGCAGATAGTGTTTTATCAGCATGTAGTTCGTTGTTGCGTAGGCCAAGAAGATAGGACCGCCTTCGCGGTGTAAAAGTCTGGTGGCAGAATTAGTGATTGCGCGAACGTGGAAGGGAAGCAGCTGCATGTACATTGGTTCTATTTGACTGCCGTGCAAGAACCACCATGGATGCTTCCAGTATAATTGATGAAGTTGAGTGTTGTAAAGCGTAAGCAATTTCTTGAAAAGAGGAAACTGGTGTTCATCATTCAGACACCTAAGACACTAGTAAGCTTTTCTGTAAGTCGTTGCCACATGACTATAATGCTTACTCGGAGATTTTGGGGGCGTACACCTCGGGCGTTTGCATCTCAGTCGCCATGTTGGTACTTTTATGAGGACGATTGATGGTAGCAACGCATTCGAAGTTTGGCGCGATCAAGGGTTATATCCGTTCGCTCCAACGCCAAGACCACCCCTCACGACTATCATTTGGAAGGATGTTCAATCCGATTCCGATAGGAACACCCTTGTCTTGTGGATTGTAGCCACCTGCAAAAGCGGGACGTTGTCCAGGTATGGGGGTGCGCGACAAGGACATTCGATGCGATGACGAACGAATTACATCGGAAGGATCGTTCCTGCAGACGATCTTCTTATGCGAAGTAACGCATAAACGCCACTGACAACATTGTGTGATCCTAGAAGAACAAGTCTATGAGAGAGTCAGGGCACGTAGCATGGTCCTAACGTTCGCGACTCATGTGTGCATGCACAGCACAAAGCCGAGCTAAGAGGTTGGCCCTGCTTTGTGCTACGCGACCGAGCTTTGGGTCAGCCTTACTTCCAATTGAGCATAGCATCAGCAACACGATTGATTGTTCAGTCAAGCTTCCTAGAAGGACATGATGTGTGATTCGAAGAGTTACGGCTCATCCATCTAGATGCGATTCGCAGCAGCGACAAAAATCATGAAAAGGTGTGAGTCCAAGATACAGAGTCATGTACATGCCGTGTACATGAGTGAAGCAGACCAAATGAACAGACATGGAGTGCGCGACAGATCTTGAAGGAGCTCAAGAGGCCATGAGCAAGCTATACCAAGCCATAGAGCGGTCGAGGCAAGGTGCCACAGACCTGGCTGCCAGTGTTGCCAGCCTGGAGCTTCGCACCCTTTAGGCCAACATAGGCTTCGCGCCTGGCTGGATTGCCAACAGTGACACTCCAGGTCTTCAAGCCATAGTAGACCCCAATGTGGTGTACGAGCCAACGTCCGAAGCTGCCTCCAACGTCTTCCTCGGGTGTCTCAAAGAGCATGAGCTCCTTCTTAATAGCCTCAGCCTCTGTAGGCGAGCGGAGATCGTTCATCTGCCCGTTCCTTCCAACGAAGACGATCTCGTCGTCTTCGCTGTCCGGATCGGCAGGCAGGCCGTCCTGCTCTGCCTTGCGCTCCTTTTCTTCCCAGCCCTCTACGAACTTGCGCACTTCGCCTTCAAGGTCCATGAGCAGACCCTTGGCACCGCGCGATCGCTTCAGCTTCTCGCGCAGCTCCTTGGGCACGACACCGGGAGTCGTGGGCTTGTTGGCTACAGTCTTGGTCGCGGACTTTTGGGCGACGGCGGCGGTCTTGCGTTCGTTGGACTGGCGCTTGAGGCCGGCGTCCCAGAGCGGAGCGAGATAGTAGGGTACATTCTTGGACGTGTAGGTAGGATGGACCTCCCAGTCCTTCGGCAGCGGAGGCTCAGCGTAGGGGTTGTTCAGGAGGCGGTCTGGCTAGAAATCAATTGACGCGCACTTTAAACGATGAATTACTCGCAGTGCATGGGAAGATCAGGAGATGGTGTCGCGATGCGCAAAGCGTCTCCAGCGGAAGGGGGAGGGGCAGACCCTCAACGTACCATTCTCCCAACGCTGCCTGCGCCTTGACCCCTCTTTGCCCCGGAGCAGGGCTTCACGCCTCTTCAAGCTGTCGCGACGGAGTGGTTCCTTGCGATGATAGTAGCCACCCTCCTTTGCAGCTGCCGAGGCACCTACGGGGTGGGCGGCAGCGGCAGGCGCATCATGGTCGAGCGGTATCGCAAGCGTAACCGAGGTACCCTGAAGCGCATCACCAGGGGCGGATATAGCCACCGAGCTGAGCGCAACTGTTGCTTGCTCGGTCCACGCTTCGATGTCGATGGGCTGAGGCGGGGCAGCTGCCTGCTGAGGGCTTGAGGGAATATCGCCGACGGCCATTGTGGTGGCGTTGAGGGTGCGAACTACGGGAGGCGTGGTAGGGATGGGCTTCAACAAAGGGAGATGCTACGAGATCGTAGTAGATAGATATCTGAACAGAGGACAAGGAGACAGAAGTCTATTACCCACTGAGCATGTGTTTAGGGGCAGATGGCGATAAAGGCCGCGGCGCGATAGGAGTCATTAGGTCATGGTCGTAGTTCGCGTCATGCTCGCCAGCCAATCAAGCCGCAAACGTGGGGCAAGCCACATACCTGTAGGTACCATACATGGATGGAGTAGTACAGCAAGAGTCACACGTCTACACGCAGTCATCTCTGCAGTCAAGCAGGCCAAAAAGTGATGGAATAGCTGTTGATAGTCGCCGTCCCTTCAGGGATTACTCATGTGAGCTACGAAGCCGATGCAGCAGCTGTGTCACATGTGAATCGTCATCTATAGAGCTTCCTCCCTCGAATGCTTCCAACCGCTGTTAACTTCACAATTACGTTGAAGCTGAATCGGTCCAGACTGTCACTTGTCAGGACCATCATCACCGAAACTTGTGAATACATGGCCTAACGAGGCTGTACGATCATATATGACCATGAGCGCAACGAGCTGCTTCATCTTCCTGCTGATACACCCACGCGTCTTGAGGATGTCTGTTTCAATGTACCGCATGATTCAGACTCCGCTGTTACAGGAGCTTAGTGTACATAGCCTCGTTGTTTGAGTAAGATAAGCATGCACAACTGCCAAGTCTACGCCTCGTCTGCCCAGAACTTGTCAATGTCAGCTGGGGTTGTGATGTCGTTACGTTCAGCAAACTCCTTCCAATCCAGGGTTGGCTGATGCCATTTGCGAATCGAGACGAACAACTTCTTCGACGACCTGCGCTTCCCATTCGCACGACGTTTGACTTCCACGAGCGGCCAGTCCGTCTCTTGAATGTCTCCTCCCTTGCCCTGTATAGCTAGCTGTAGGCATTTCGTGTACCACTCCGGTAGTCCGTTGATCTCGACGTCTCTGATACCCCGGAGGGATGCCAGGCTTTCAAGACCGAACATGAACTTCCCAGTGTCTTCAGGAATACTAGGCTTTACGACCTGCTGCCAGGTAGGACGATCGCGCAGCATCCTCTTCATCTTGTCTTGTGAGACGAGCTGGAAATCAACTTTCAGATCTTGCAAAAGAGACTTTTGGTCGGTGTCATCTGCATGCTCTTTCAGAATCTCGACAAGATACTCAAGTCTTGATCGCTGACGCTTAACCGCCCAGTGGCTATCGACATCGGGTATTACGTCGATATGGATGCTTCGCAGGTTACGTAGTAGAGGGAGTCGATCGGGATGACCGAGAGGTCCAAAGACGAACGGGCTCCGTAGTGACTTTGGCCACATGGAATTTCCATGTACAGTAAAGTTGTAGGTATTCGACCCATACATAACCGCTGGAAGCATTAGTACAGAATGATACGAGTCAACGGGATGACTTACACTTGGTCTCATTGGAGACGAATTTACTCACTCGGAATAATTGTGTCTCGACCGTAAAATGGTTATAGCGGCGCACTTTCGTGTTTTTGTAATATGGATTGCTTCCTATCTTGTATGAGAAGTCTTCGTCCTTTCGGAAGGCATTTGTGGTCCAGTCGGGTTCGTTGCTACTCGACCATCCATACCGCTCGAATGTAATTTCCATGTTGTGTGGGATCAGAAACGAGTATACGTGGATTCGCAGTTCCGCCGGAAGGTCGAGCAGGCGGAAGCCTATCATAGATGGTGATGAGTAGTTGCGAGGCGTCTGCTCAGTGTCGTTGGCATGCTCGAATTCGTCCTGGAGAGTAATGACTTCCTTTCCCTTGTATGTCTCGTGTAGGAATTCGACTTCATCAGAGTCTGAGTCGGTATTAGAGGACGTCATTGTTTTGCTGTAACGACGACCTGTGGATGTTGAGATCGTGAGCGATGGCTTGAAATATTCGCAGGAGGCCGACAATTTGAAGTTGATCAGCTTATCGACTGAGCGGTACCTTGGTACTACACAGCAAAGGCTACCTACGCCAAGACCCAGCGTTCTAACGAACCCGCGACCTGGAGCGAAGTGATCTGGGGCGACTGCTGAAGGATTAGTTCTTGAAGACACGAGGAACGAGGAGAATGTTACCAGTGGTAGCGTGATATACACGACGGTAGAAGGCGCGGTGTTGGGGCGGCAATCCAGGCTGCAGGCTGCAGCGCCAAGATTTCCTGCATAACGGAAGCAAACGCGACTGCGCCGCAGGCAAAGGTACAGATTTTGACGCGAATCCCGGGATGCTTGTTACCGTGCAGAATAGGCCATTTTGCGTTGTGCGTTCGAAGGCTATGCAGGGTTTCTCGACAACGAGGAAGCGTCGAAAGTACAATGGCGCTCAAGCGAGCGGACGGGAAGAGACGGGAGGAGATGACTGCGTGGCGACAAATCCAGGATTTATCAGTGTTGGATTTATGAAGAGCACTCATTTATTGCAAGCACACTGTTCTGAACTGCAAGCGTCTGCATATGCACCATCCATCATCTGCAAGTATGAGGCAAGGCTTGAGTCCAATGTGGACGCCATTGCTTGCAGTAGCTGCGATGCATAGTCTCCGAGTATAGCATGACGGTCCAAGAAGAAACCACCTAGACAGCGCGTTGGCCATCTTATGCAGTCCCTGCGGTTTGTTCGTCGCGGGCCATCTCCTCTGCCAGCCATTCGGCCTCTTTCTGCATCTCGTCGTCGCTCCTGGGCTTGCGGCTATCGTTGTCCACAGCAGGAAAGCGACTCTTTCTCTCTTCTTCAGCGAGACCTGCCCCGGCTGCCCTCTCCTTGTTGGCTAGCTGCTTACTGAGGTCTGCGTCCTCGCTCTCCATCATGGCGTATATAGCGTCTGTGCCGCCCTTCTCTTCTAGGTCGTCCTTCTTGCGAGGAATGATGTGTGCATGAACGTGAGGCACGCTCTGGCCTGCATCGACGCCATCCTGTATGGCGATGTTGAGAGACGAGGCACTGAAGACTCGCTCCACCATGCGGGATACGCGTTGTACAGTCAGGAAGAGGTCTTGCACTTCGGCAGCGGATAGATCGTTGAAACGTGGCACGACCCGACGCGGCGAAACCAAGACATGGCCGGGCAGTAGTGGCTTGAGGTTGACTATGGCAAAGGACAGGCGTGTTAGGTGGAAGACCTACATGGAGTTAGCTTCAGCTGCGACTACGGCAGCGGCTGCACAGGCACAACGCACCTGGTTGGTGACGACAAAGGAGCCAAACTTGACGACGTCCTTGGTGAGCGGCATCCTCCCCGTGTGTCGCCTCAGATGGCGTCTAAGCGTCGTCGCAAGCACTGAGGCGCCAAGCAGTCTCAACTCAGCGCCAGCGGGCGACGGCGCACGGAACATTCCTCGTGCGCTTCCATGCACCATGCACGCCATACCTCTTCACCCCACCACCGCCGTAGCGCCCACGCTACACCGGAATCTCGAGGCGAGGCGACCAGAGGGCCCCGTTCTCGGCCCAATCTCATATCGTGTCACATGCTGAGTTGCAGGCGGCGCAATCCGCGTCGAACTGATGCGACGCGTGCTGAGGTGCTACACATCGATTCGCACACCCAGACGCACGTCCAGCACCGTGGGGACGCCGACGCCGCATCGTGGGGTTGGCCGCTGTCCGCGCAATCTGCAATGACGCCGCCGACGCCCTCTGCCCTTACTCCTCCTCCGCCGGCCGCCTATGGCACTATAAATCTCACATCCTCTGCCTGAAGCCCATGCCCACCTGCACTGCTTGCTCTTATCAATTCCCGTTACTACTGTGGAGCGCCTAGTGGACCCTTTTCACTCAGACCTTTCTGCTAGCACCCTCTGACTCCAAGCTTAGCTTACTTGGACCGCCTACTCCACCAACAGGACACGCCAAGAGGGTCTCATAACTGAGCTTGGCTGGAGCATAGGGTTTCGAGCCCGGCCCGGCTTTCAAACAAATTACCCTCCAGCGCAAACACGCCTCCGCCTCCGCCTCACCCGCTTCTGCCTTTGCACAGACAAGCTACTATTGATTGACTTGGCACTCTGCACTGGCGGCGATCCTACATTGTGCACGACGAGACAGGAAGGATCCCCACAGTCCCACCACGTACGCTTGTTTCTCAAGCGTAGGAACCAGCATCAGGGTTCGTCGTCGACCTTCCTTCGCTCCAGCTATAAGAGGGTCGGACCTCCGATTTTCTGCCCGTCTCAACTCCAATCGGACATAGCATATTCCACCACGTTCCACTTCGATTACATAGCGCGACTACCACATACGCCAGCCCGCGTTCTCGCTGTATCCATCCAACCACGGTTCCGTTGATCGGTACCGCGCATCATTTCTAGGCGACTATATAAAGGGTCTCGGCATCGCTTCTTGCTCACAAGCATAAATTCCCCGACACGCCTGTTCCAGGACCATCCACTACACCTTCCTCTCACACATCCACCCACACAACCTCCACGATGGATATCGCCACCACTTCACGCGCCTACTTCGCCATGCCTTCTCCCACTCCTGAGGAGAAGATCTCCCTCCAGGCCAGCAACACAGTCTACACATACCACTGCCTGTGCAATCATCTGCTACTCGCAACCACCACACCACTGCCCTCCTTACCCAAACGCCAACACACGCGCGATGCCGCACACATCATGCCGCTGCCTCCAGCGCCCACTTCCGGTCGCAACAAGAACGCGGCTTCGCAAGACCACTACGGCCTCCTCCTGTCCACCCGACAAGATCGCCAAGCTGAAATCATAACCAGCGACGAGGGCTTCGAGAAGCGTTATCTGCAGCGCTGCGGACGGTGCAATCTGGTTGTGGGCTACCAGCTAGACTGGCAACAGTTCTCCGTTGATCGGTCCGGCAGGCGCGAAGACTACGTCTTCCTTCTCCCGGGTGGCTTCGTCAAGACGAGCGACATGATCATGGGGAAGACGGCTACCGCACCCGCATCTGCATCCGCAGTGGGCGGCGCAGGGATGGGCACTGTCAATGTCACTCAGGTCAAGGCATAGGGCGGATCCGTCAGCCGTTGAGTCCTGGGGCTCCCCACCTTCCGCTACTCTTCCCCCTGGGGATTACGCACAGTGCTTCTCAACAGAATTTATGGAATCACGATTACGATTACCCTGACGAATCTGGGTCTCGGCGTTTATTGATTTCGGTTGCTTTTTCCATGTCGCTCGGAGTTTGGCCGCGTGGATCAGCGGGACGTTTTTATTTCCTCACCCTTCTCACATCTAGATACCCCATTGGTGAACGCGCAAGGCTTCTCATGCTACAGGAGGAAAGAAGCCTACATGTCTATAAGCACACAGCGTCCCTTATGGATCCAAAAACAGAGTTGCATTCCCTGTTTACAACAACTTCTCACTTGCACATGCGTGACTCGCATTACTCGACTTATTATCATATTGTCTGTGCATCTTGATTCGCTGCTCGCAGCTATCTGACTCCCATGCCCTGCAGCCCTACTGTGCAGATATCAAAGAAGTGTATATGTATCATGTTAAGACAGTTCCAACGCCGACGTAATCCGCATGCAAAAAACCGTGACCCGTTTCAGACATGCTCGCGTAAAATCCTAATGGAAGGGAAGAAGATGGTGCCGAAGAAACGAAACAAGGACGGCAGGAACCGTAGCCTAGTTCTCCGCAATCGTCTTGACGAACTCTGTAGCAAGGAGTTAGCCAATGTCACTCTCAGTGTATGTGGACACGTAGAGACTCACCCCTGTAGTCCACCTCGTTATTGCTAGCATCGATGGTGCTCTTGAACAGCTCATCGACCTCCTCCTCGCTCATCTTCTCGCCCAGGTTGGTCAGAATGTACTTGATCTGACCCTTGCCGACGAAGCCACTCCTATCTTTATCGAAGACCTGGAAGCCACGGATGTACTCTTCGATGTCAAAGGGTTCGCGGAAGCCGCCGGGGCGGTTGAGGATCTTGGAGAAGGTGTCGAAGTCGACTGCGCACAAGTGGTTAGCCCTGGAGTCCAGGTGCAGCGGGGGTGAGACGCCTGTGGAAGGCGAATCATGGCATGTGGAGATACGTACAGTCTGCACCAACACCACGCTCGAGGTCGGCAATCTCAGCCAGTGTAGGATTTTGGCCACATGCGCGGAGGAGGTCGCCCAGTGCGCCGCGGTCGACACGGCCGTTGCCGCGCTTGTCGAAGAGCTGGAAAGCTTCGCGGTAGTTTGTGGAGGCCTGGTTACTGTTATCCATTGCTCTTTGCGTCGTGTGTTGTCAAGTTGCTAGTAGCGGGGTTGTTGTTGTGGGTTGAAGCGTTCGGTCGATGTGTTGCTGCTGCCGGAGTGAAGGGGCTCTGTTGACACCATGTGCGACAAAGTGAAGCACGCGCGTTGTGCTGTTGCGGCCACTCGCCGCTGCCCATTTTCCGCTGGTCAGGGCAGGGACGACCTGGCCGCGGCCAACCAACGATAGCGTGGAAGCCACGAGTGATGCGGGGTCCGAGTTTCGGGGGGAAGGAACGTCGTTTACATACCATTGTGTATATAGGTGTATGTGCGAGTTACTTGGTGACAAGAAGGATATCTAGCAAGTCCAAAAACGGTGGTATAGGCGGTGTGAGGGTTCAATCTGGTGTTGAAGGGGCTGTTTGATGTAGCCTGAGCGGGGGCCGCAGGGTGCGTCGAGCGCAAAATACTGCCCGCCGCCAAGGGCGAAGCGTCGTCGTCTAAGCAACGAGCGGTGTACTAGGTGTCGATTTGATGTCCATGTTAGGCACAACAACAGATATAAGGTTTAGAGGATGACGAAAGTTCATCAGCAGAACTCTCTTTACTTGGATCCGACACGATCTGTATCCGGCCGTACCTGCGATAAGCAAGATTACATTTACATTGGCATTGGCAGATAACATACCTCATGCAGGCACTTTACCATCCTCATGCAAGATGTTCGCACGACGAACAGCAATACTGTTCGCAGTTCACGGGAGAAGACAGTTGCTTGTTGCATATCCAATCTTTTCGCATAGTCAAATCTATCGAATACCTCTAAAACTTCTCCATCAAGTTCTTCCTGACAGTCCACATGCGTGCCCTCTTTCCGTAGATGTACATGGGGATGCTGAACAACATGCATCCTAACTGAATGCCGCCAATCGCCAAAAATGTATCCTTGCTACCACTCGATTCAAGCCAATGCGGGAAGAAGAGGGAAAAGATGAAGCCGTGTAAAACGTCTGTCAAGGTGCGTTAGCATGTTTATGCTCAAAGTGATGTTGAGGAGCGACTTACTCTTCGAGAAATTGAGCGTAACAAGTGCCTCGCCTGCGTACATGCGGTAACTGTCCACAACGAAAGTAATCGATGTGGTACTAGCCAGCGAGCAACCGAAACTGATGACGCCAAAGAAGACGGTAGGGACAATCCAATTGTCCTTCTCTTCTGCACTCCAGCCGAAGCCCATAAGTCCAATAACAGTGCTAATCGCGATTGGCAACGCCATAAGAAGACGGAATTCCGGCTCGTATACACCATCGTTCTTGCGCGCCATGTAGCGTACTACAAGGTCGGAAACTCGACCTGCCACTGCCGTACCAAGAACGCCACCTATGAAAGGCGAGATGTAGACTAGACCCACTTGAAGCGGGGTGAAGTTATACGAGGTATCGCGGTAGATGTGGGCAACCGACTCAGAAAGCACAATCAGCCAACCAACAGCGAGAGCGTAGACAAGCGACGACCAAAGGACTGCGGGATAGGCGAATAGAATGAAGGGGCGGACCGCGACGCGAAGCCATTTGTCCTTGACAAGACGTCCGTTCCACGGTCTGAGCGACTGCCGGTACGACTTTGGTGGGGCATCACGGTAGTAGTCGGTGTAGTGGATGCTCAGCTGCTCCGAGATGTGATCCGCTGCAGCAGGATCCGACGGCGGGTGTCCGCTGTCCGCTCGAATATCCTGCTTCTCGGGGTCGGACCCCAGATTTGCCGGGAGCTGGCCAAAGTAGTCGTGTCTTGGGTCCTCGCCCGGGGTAGAATGAATACTCATCGGGGAGCGAGGAGTTGGCGGAACACTTGCATGGCGTACAGTCTCGTCAGCCATATCTACGTGGCCAGTCTTTTCATCGGGATCCGGCTCTGCAAATCCAACATGGGCATTCTTATGGCGTTTGGCAGGCTGCTCGTGAGGTCCCGCCAGAGGCGATGCTGGCAAGGGCGTCGCTGGCATTGACGATACGTGCTGCGCTTGTCCATCTGTGGCCTTCTTGTGATGAAGATTTGGCAAGTGGAAATGTCCATGGTGTTTTCCTGGACTCTTACTGCGGGCGCGAGTGTGTCGCTTGGCTGGCTTAGGTGCTCGGTCCCAGAATGTTTCGGGCACGAAGAAGAAGATGAGGAAGAAGCAGAACCCGACAACAATGGCGGTAATCCAGAAAACCCATCGCCATCCGAGCGTTTGCACGATGACGGCGCTGACCAAGGGGATCAGGTTCTTTCCGCCGAGCAAAAGTAGTGTGTAGATACCCAGGCGATACGCTCTTTCGTGGAGGAAGAAAATCTCGGCAATGGTAGCACTGGGCAAACACTCGACCGGAGAAACGGCAAAGCCTTGGACAATACGAGCCACCACCAGTGAGGCGTAGTTCGGCGACACGGCGCACCATATCGAGGAAATGGTGAACAGTATGATTGCGCCCAGGTAGACGGGTCGCTTGCCAAACAAGATGGCAGTAGGTGATGCAACGACGCTGCCGAGACCAAGTCCCAACATGTACAGGCCTGTAGTCAAGGCCACCTGGGGAATCGTCACGTCGTATGTATCAGCTACATCGTTGAAGCCAGCAGCCAACAGCGGCGTCATGCCTCCTCCGACCATACAGTAGAAGCCGAGCGATATGAGAGCGAGGTCGCGTCGCACCTGAGCCCAGTTGAGCGGGTCATTTGCTGAATCCTCGGGCTGAGGGTCCAGAATGAAGCGGCCGTCCTTTGTACGCTTCTTCTCGGGCCGCCGCGAACGGGACGACTGGCGGGAGCCATGCGAGGCAGTTCGCAGGGGCTGGGGGCGCTGTGTGGTGGGTAGCGACGAGGCGGATGTGCGTGCGTGGGCGTGTTGCAGTCCTAGCGGCTCGTTGCGGTTGTGCGTCTTGGACAGAAGGATAACGGAGCCTGTGAAGAGGGTATTAATTGTTTGTTCGTGTATCGATCATAGTGCAGGAACGTCCTTACCAGGCACTTCGTCCGTCTGTGGGTCGCTCAGGATCCCCAGATTCCACTTGGGCCGTGGGGTATCCTTCTCTTGTGTGGTGGATGTGGCAGTCGAACTCTCAGCACCCGCCTCCGCTGGTTGCGGCTTCCGCCAGGGAGTGAAGTTGACCATGCCGTCTGCCCTTGGAAAGGATACTCACAAACAGAGCAAGAGGGGTGTTGGAGAGGCAGCGAGGTCTATATCACACGCCGCAGCCTGTAATCGATACCAAGCCTCTGATGACTAGTCTGTTCAGCGCAAGACTCACGAGGACCCTCTCTCCACACCAACACCCTGAGTCTCCACGACGCTGCAGATGCACGATAAGGACAGGTGACGGGATGTGGAGTCTCCATATCCACGTTGGGGAGGCAGCACAAACATGTGCTTACTACGAACAATGCGCGTGCTCAGGAAGGAGGGTTATCGCTGGCCCGCGGTCGTGCATATCGCGGCTACCAATGCTAGCGTCGCGGCCATGACGTACAGCCAAGGTCCATGTGACTTGGGACGCTTCCCGCAGCCTGCGTTATTGGCTGCCTTGACCTTCACCGCCAACATCGTTAGACGTGCTCAGACGTGCTCAGACATGCTCCAGACATGGTTCTCGTTGCAACACCTCAGCCACAGCCAAACTGCACGCGATACTTGCCGCCTCCGCCGTTTCCGCCACGCTACTTTTAGGAAACGCGTGGTTGCAACATGTGCTTCGTTAGCCTCTGCAGCCTTTGTCTAGGAAATGAAATCTGACCGCAAACGTTGCCGCCCGACAATCGCATTGGAAACTAGCAATATT